TAAATATAGAATTATTACGTTTCGAACATTTTGTGAGATAGTTTCTTGGATATAAATATATCAAAACTTTGACTATCCCAAGGATATAATGTACGTTCGCATCACTATACTTCCGTTTCAGTAATGACATTGAAAATTCGATCAATTTTTAATTTAGTACTTGTTTTCAGCGGTTCATAACGCTCATACGACACCCGGTTATCTGTTATACAGCTCTTAGAGACTCTTAGTTACTCTTCTCTACTTAGATATTTCGAACTCTATCTGACGCATGATATGGAAGCAATATTCAAAGGCAATTTAAAGTTTTAATAATGAATTGTATGTATTGTGATAAGTAATTTATGTAAACGGCTGATAGAACTTAATATAGAACGCAAATGAATGTAAAAAAAATAGTATTGTTATATTTTCTAATAGTTCATAGAATTTTAAGTTTGACTATTATTTGTAAGGAAAGAAACGTGTTATATTAAGTAACGAATATCTTCATTAAAAGCATCGAATTTTGCCTATACGTTACAATATTTATCGCTATTTGAGCGTATCATAAATTAATTAACTTTCTGTGTATTGTAATCAGTACAGCAATTTATTATGTCAGCACAATAAACACTAATTACCGCGTACAAACGGCTAATATACGCGTAATTTGATAGGATATGATGCAGTACAACGTAATTTTTGGAAAAAATTCCTCAAACATCCATTCTATTTTATCCAATAAATAATGTCTGCTTTTTTGTTTTTTATTTCATCAAAAATTAAATTTAATCGTAATGTTAGCCCGTAAACAATTCGTTCTTTTTTCCAGATTGCAACTAAGTAACTTGCTGATTATGTTTATTCTTTCTATTTTTATCTCGTTCTTTTTCTATATTGCAATTATTTTTCTCTACAATCTTAGGATTTATCATTTAATTGTATTATAATAATTACAAAAGGAACCAGTAGAGGTTAAAGCAGTTTTATACAAATCATTTAAAAAACTTTTGAAACCAATTGAATGGTTTTGGAGATTAACTTAAAAGTAATAACAGGACGTGGTAGGAAAATGTTGTTTGATTTTACGTGCAAAATGAAATTTGAGCTAAAAAAAAAAGTTATTGTGTTTTTATACCAAAATTTTATTACTTACTTGCCGTCTCCCGCGACTCCGTTCGCGCGGAATTTAAAAAAAAAACTTAAAATGCCAAATTTCAGCGAGATTAGTGCAGCCGTTCTAGAGACACCTTCGAACAAACATCCATTCATCCCTATGTCCAAACATTCGCATTTATTATATTAGTATTTTTTATACAATTTTGTCCCCAGCTGTCTATACTTCTGCCTATTTCTTGGTGCAGGTTAAGTCTATAGTTAAGGAGGCTGGTCGGATAAAAGTAAATATGGACTTAGCATCCCATTTCCTGGAATTTCATCGACTTTTTATTAGCACTTATTACAGCAAGATAGATCTTTATCGCAGGAGTTTTAAAACCTTTTAAAAATTAACAGTGGGTTTTTGAGTTCAAAATCCCCGTTCAAACACAGCGATATGTTCGATACAGAGATTTCAGTCTCAGAAATCAACGGTATGTCAATCGTGAGTGAAACTTACCAACAGCTTCAGATGATTTTTCGGTGTGCCGTATTTACGTTTGCAATTACTCATTATCGTCTACTCGCACTTTTGGGAATTAACAAAAACATAACTAAAGGTATCTACACATTCTCCTAAATTTATCTTCCTTCCTAAGGGTTACAAAAGTTTTAAACACATGCACAATAAACACATGGTTATGTGATTATATGTTTCAAAGAAAATTCATACACTATGTTTTTGCATGCGCGTTTCGGTAGTTGAAATCTACGATTATACACATTTCTTTTTATGCACTTTTCCTGCGGTTTTTTCAATGAAATTGTGCACTAATAAATTAATTGGCGTTCTGAACCTTCGCGTCGTATCGCCACTACTCTAGCAACGTTAGATAAACTGAAACGTTTGATAAATTTCGAATCAGCTAGATAACAAGTGGTTATTGATAACCATTGAGTTAATGGTTATTGTTTGCTTTACAGTGGGTTTTCATGGCCAAAAAATTATACATAAAGTTAACTTACCCTGTTGTTGTTTCAGGTAAAATAAATGATAAGCATAATTTTTTAATGGTGCAGTGATGGAAACCCAAGATTATATTATGTATAACATTGGCGAATTACTTTGAAAAAGTTGTTTTAAATCTATGAAGTGTAGACCAGTCTTCGAGTTACAATATTAAATTTGAATATCTCGCAGAAGACTCAAACGAAGGGTTTCAACAGTAGAAAAAGATATAATTTATTTAAAGATAGGCTCATTATTTATTCCCTAGACTCACTTCCTAGTCAAATCTTTAGGTTATGATTATTGTTAACTAAATTAGAATCTGATCTGAATAGAAATAATTCCTTTAATACAATAGACAAGTTATGGCTCGGGTCAACCTCGAATGCGTGGCGTTGACATAGAGCGCGGTAGTGTAGTCACGCCACTCACCTAACGTGTAGTCAAAGCAGATTTTTAATCGAATGACGTTAATGACTTAAAAAGGGATGCCATAGGTTAATTTATTAGGGTTGCTATTTTACAACCTAAGAACGAATGTCATGTACGGAATATACATGGTAATAAAAGCATAGAATGATCTAAAAAATTTATTAATGAATGAGGCGACTATGTGCACATTGAAAACACTTGTACAATATTTACAACACCCGCGTTATAGCAACACCACTACAATCTTCTTCCGAATCCTGCTTCATTCACTAAACATACTACAGACTGTACACAGTTTGTACAACTTATTCTTACATACTAGATTCTAACAAACTAATTTTAAACATTGGAAATATTGTTGATCGTAATTATACGGGTAATGCTATAACATTTGTTTATATAATTAGTACATATATGTACAAAATTACATAAACATATGTTACTTTTTGAAATAGTTAAACTAATGACTGATACGAATTGCGCAGTCAAGACTTCTAACATTGATAACTAACTTTTTGCGAATGTGGCACGTAAAAGTTACACTTTTTTTATAATATATACTTGTTGTCAGCTACATATACTTTTCTCTTCGTTCTTTTTTAAATATTTTAGCTTCGCATATACCAACTCATGTTCGTCATCTTCTTTCCTTGACAATCTATATTCTACATCACCAGAGTGTTACCCTTTTGCGTTTACAACATGCCTTTTCAAGTCATTATTACCTCGCCTTAAACTTTTTTGTCATCTAGTCACAGGCCAAACGCTATTTGCTATAACTTCAATCACCATTCTCTCACTCTTTCCATTGATACCAATTTTCACTGACATACATATAAAGTGCCGTACCACAATTTTACAGATAGCCAAGGTTTTTTTACAATCGCTTCTAGAGGTTTTGATCACATCACTCAGGCAAAGATCTATTTTCCCGTTATCAAATGGATAATCTATAGATTTAGTTACGCGACAGGAGCAATAGATTAAGTGAAAGCAAAAGATGTGGATTAAGAGAAGAATGGAAATAAAATATGGGTGGACGGAGAAAGTTACAAATGAAGAAAAATTTAATTATAAATTGAAGAAAAAGAAAAAAATAACAATTTCTTTTTATGAGGCAAAATTCTATTTTTGTAAGAAAAAAGACGAATTGAAAGATACGAAGATCGTTAAGTGGAAAGTAGTCGTCGTATCGTATCTGAAAGTTAATAGAAATACCCAGTTAGGATGAAAATAGTCACGGTTCTCAAATAATGATCATGAAAATATTGTTTATTTCATAATCATCAGAAAATTGTGCTGAAAGTAGTATTGTAACGTCAAAGATGTTCGGTAAAGTACTTTTGAACAGGATGCCATTACTGTTTCTTTTCAATCGTTTATCAGCTTTAAAAAACCTTATGGGACTCGTATAAGGAAAGATGTCTACTTTAAAAACTTCGGAAAAATATTGTAATTATTGAGCTAACGAGATATAAATAAAACGACAGCGCAAGTAGATAGCTATGCATACCGGATGTTTGTACTTTCATTGCACATCCTAGTTTTCTTGTTTATCCTTCACATAAATAAATTCAATCCTGCCTTAACTTTACGTCCGTCTTATGCATCCGAAGATAGTGCCTTGGCTCTCCTTTCATTCATTTTATTCAACAAACATATAATACATTTTCGAATTAAATTAATCTCCGAAAATACTCATCAATTTTCCTCTTCACGCAATTATTTAGCAGAAAAATCAGTGCGATAGTAAGCATATAACTAGAAACATTAACCTTCATGTAATACATACTTGCCCTTTCATTCATATTCATACATACATATCCGAAAAATAGGCCCATTCAAGAAATCGTAACAAATAAGAAGTTGTTTATATTCTATTGTTTGCCATTTGATTATATTACTACCAAATATAATATATTCAAATTAGTATTTAAATGCTGCTGACAACTATATTAGTGTAATTTTTATTTTGCCTTTTAGTTATTTCAAATTGTTTTACAGGATTGATGTATCTACTCCCAATAATAATCATTATTAAAAACTACACATTTTAATCGGAATATATTCTAAAGGAATACCTATATAGGTTTCACTTATTACTATTGGGAGTTTCTAGGGGTGAATGTGAAGAAAGAATACATATAGTGTTCCTTCGCTATAGTAACAATTCAATTGCTTTGCCTGTCTAACTCAATAAGCACGTGTCTCTATCAACAACATTCATTCCGATCAACATGCCTTAAATTTAATTCCAATTCCATACAACACTTATAATGTTCAACACTCATTAACACAAAATAATCAATATATAATCATGCGCTCAAAGCACGAAACCTTAATAACACGAGTCTAATATAGTACCAAAAAAAAAATTTACATTTATTACAAATAGTAAGATTACATATAATATAAAAAAAAATTATAATTTGTTAATATATCAGAAATTCATAATTCAATTACATAATTATGCAATTACATAAAAAATCATAATTCAATAACGTACAAAAATTTAATATTAAATAACATAAAAGATTACTTTTCTACTCTCATTACGATATTATTTCCATTGCATAGGAAGGGTGACGATAAACACATAGAACGACATCATTGAATTTATTCGAAATACATTGTGATTATTCTATGTCACTTCATAACAATACATCAATATATCGCTGAAAATTACTTATTTTAACTCTTAACCCTCCGTAGTACGGTCGTCAAAACTAATTTCAAACTATGATTTACAAAATTCTTAAATTAAAACAAATCACAGTAGCAAGGTAATAAACGACATCCATATTTAATTTGAAAATAATTTCTCTTTTGTGCGTAACTTAAAATAATTTATGAAATACCAATGAAACAGAGTAGTAGTCTACTCAAACCTCAACGAAATATTGCTCCAAAATGATAGATTTTGCCGGAAGACGATTCGTAAAACGATTTAGTTAAAATTAGGTATGTACTGTACAATAATTTGAAAAAATATGTAAGTTTTGTTATGTACAATACATTTGCTTTTAACAAAAAGAAATATAGTAGTCATTATACGTCTTGTTCGATTTTGTTCGAGTAGATTAAATTCCATTGATGTTTTATAATTTGCAACTTTTGGCAACACAAACAATTTCATTTCAATAGATAGGAACTTAATTTAACCTTGAAATTTTTTACAAACAATATTATTAGGAATGGCATATGAAATCATTTTTATCGCTGCACAATGACATATAATAAAATTATTTAATATATAATTATTTAAACTTACATATCGATGATCCGCCAGCATTTTGCTGCTAACTACTACAAGATTCGCTTTGTTAAACATGAAGAGTCCTACCGACATTGTAACATTTATCCACGTTAAAATTACTTATTTTATATATTTAATAATAATATTGTTCATAAAAAGACACATAATATGTAAGAGATAATAAAATACACGCTTGTACCAAGTAATTATTTTCCATCAATAATATACGTTATTAATAAGACAAGTTAATATAATATCGTCAATTATATGACAAACTTTCGGCCTACAGCTTGATTCCGAGTGACATCCGTTTAAAGAAGAGATTATTTACAAAGTACATATATTACTAAATATTGACTTTAACAGAATTATGACATGCATCATCTAAATCTACTTATTTGAAAATGGTTACATGTTTTTCTATTATTTATTTTATAAAATATTCAAAACACACAGTTTACCATCAAGCTCTATTTCGGGGTTTATTATTTATATTTAAATATCATGATTATCGGGGACATAGACACATTGCACACCGAAGAACTACTGTTAAATGGTTCAAAGTGAAATTTTAAATCTAAACATTAAAGGATCGCCATTTTTATTTACACTGGGAACATCACTCGAAATCTGAACGACAAAAATTAATTATGTAAATAGAAATCGTGTTTTAGCTTCTTCTCAAAAAATAAATGCCAAAGTATATAAATAAACACATGATATTTGAAGCTCCGGACGATTTAAATGAAATTATATGAATTACCTAAAAGTTATTCAATGTTTCCAATTGACAATGTTTAATTAAAAAAAGCGACAGCGCAAAGCTCAACATTAATATCAAAATAAATTGTTATCTTTTAAAAAATAATTTATTGTATATACAATAGAATACAAATTACATAATTCTAAGGTCAGTTTATTTACAATCCATTTTTATATTTATGGTAACGAAATTCATTGCCCTTAATAAGTGCGGATTTCTTATAATATTAAATGATGTAATGGACTCTATCCCTAACATTGAGTTGGTCCTACTGTAGTTGACCCTACGGAGAATAAAACATCAGACCGGTAAAATTACTAAACATTCATTTTTTTTATGTTTTTGCTATGTACATGTCTGGTTGGATTTGAAACTTTAAGGTTTTAAAAAGTGTAAACAATTGATATTGCGACTGTTTAAATCTACAATAAAATGTAATCACGCACCCTATCTACCGAGGATTGGGCCGAATGGCACGACTAATTTTTTTAATTAGTAATATTGTGAAGGATGTCTTAATAATCTTACGTTGAATACTATTAACAAATGTCGTTGACTTTATCACCGCGATTCTAATATGCACGTTAAAAGTGACGAGTTCATTTATAAGCTTGAAATAGGTCAAGTTGTAAATAGGTCTTGGGTTTATAATGGTACCATTAAGTTTTCATAAAACTGCTATTTTCAATTTTTTTTAAGGAAACCTGTAGGATTTTTTTAAAGATACTGTATTAGTGTATCGGAAAAGGGATTGTATCACGGTCTACAAACTTACCAGACAAAATGCAAATAATGATTAGGATTCATATTTTAATTAACATTTTTGTGCATTAAGTTAGCTTGTGACCAAAGGGTGATTAGGCGCAAAGTCAGAAAAATTAGGATAATTACGATAACTTTTAAATGCAACATGTTTAAATCCAGGATTGAAATATTCTTCCAACCGAAATACGGTTGATAGTCACTTATTTTATTTAATCTGTATACAATAATTATAAATATAAGATAAAAGTTGATTTTGATTACATCTATGCTATTGCCTTATAATTGAAATAGAGTTTACAACAATAGCTCATAATAATCTACTCATTATTGTAAATGTATATTTAACTGTTTAATTAATAGTTTTTTTTTAACATTTAGTTCCTTATAATAAGTTCATTAATATGTACATAGATTTGATTATTGATATACAGAATGATTATATTTCTAAACAAAGATACAGAAACAGGTGAAGATCGTCATGTTAATTTAAACTCATGATTGTAAGACAAAAATAAATAGTTTAAAAATATATTTCCTCGAAGATAAATTTAGATAAATATAAAAAATTAATTAAAGACAAATTTAGATGACTATAAAAATATCAAAATCCTCGGATAGAATGTACAGCGCGGACTTACATCAGCAATAAGACTTCTAAAAAGCTCTTAAATAAAATTCTTCTTAGATACACTTAGGCCATATAATGACAAGATACGAGTTATATAAAGTCTGATCTATTTATGATTATATTTATGGAATTTTAAAACTTTCTTACATTAATGTGGCAAATCTTTAAATGTCTGTACGAATCAATGAACATTTTTAAATGTTACATATCTTATATATCGAATATTCTTGGTATTTCCGAGTTTGTTGTAGACTATTTGTATTGTGGTTTGAATAATTGTTAAGTGTTTGTCATATCGAGTTTCGGATGCACAAATCTTGACAAATGTTTGTCGTATTTTCACGTCACAAGTTGGTTTGTTCTTTGCATATATTCACAATAGAACAATTATTTTACGAATTAACCTATCTTTAACAATCGCTTAAACTAACATATCCCATCTAGGTCTCCCTAACCTTGACTATATGATGAGTATTGCCAAATATTGCACACAACACGTTTAGAACATATCCTCGCTATCATCAAATTTATGATTCACTCCACTATAATACATTTATATACAATGACAAGTTACGCTTACGTTAACAATTATTTTTTTGTTGCGGTGATATGCTAATGAAGAATAAAAGACCTATGTACAATTTATTATATACATTTGCACCACAATACTTGCATGTGCCTTTGGCGGATGACAGATACCAATTTGATTTTTTTTTTACACAAAGCGTTATTTTGTCTACTGATTTATATTGTTTTAATATAAATAACGTATGTACAATTTTAAATGAAGTTGATTAAATGTATCGCGCTTTATACAAAAGATCATATAAATACATATTGTTGGTATGAATTCAACGAATTGAAAAAATCACGGTAGTTGACTTTGACTAAAGCAAAAAAAAAGTTTATTTAATTTGAAAAAGTGAATAAAGTAATTTTTATATAATGCCCTATTTCATTGCCTAAATTTAGCGTCTTTGGTGAAAACGGAGTCAAGATTTTAGGAATTAATATGAGATGTACTTGTATAGAAATTATTTTAGTATACAACGGCCAGCTTTAGTACTTATACGGGCAAATAATACTAGAAACGGATAAGAAAACTGTTAAGGATCAATCCTAAAGATATTGTAGTAAGATTAGTAAACAAAGTTGTGAATATAAGTAATAGATATAATATACAACATATATTTAGTCGATATATTTTTATAAAAGTAATATTTATCACAGTATTTAACAAAAAACGATATCGTAATTACGTAAACTAAACTATCGTTCTTTGATAAACGTGTTGATATAGAGATTGAAAACAAAAAAATAAGAATTAATTTTTTTCTACAAATCAAACCAATATTTATCACAGTTATGAACAAAAAGATATCATTAAATAAACTTTCTTAAACAAACGTATTAATTTACAGAATGAATACATCATTGAAAAGAAATCATTTTTTTATTTAATTTGCAATTCTGTGGCTGAAGGTGTAAATGATCTGGTGCTGTGAAATAATTTAGTATCGACTTGTTCAAGAAGCTTGTGTCTTAATATTGTTACAAATTTATTGAAGCATGTATCCGCGAAATACTACAGCTATCCATGTGTCAAATTTGTGCAAAACCAATATAAATGTATAAACGAGCATCGAGCCGACTTCCAGGATTTATTATAAAATAAAGGGATAATGGAAAACGTTTGAAAATAACCGTGCAAAATTTGAATAACCGATTGTTAATTATTAACGATTTGTAATTGATATTCTGTTTTAAAAACTAACTAACGTTATAAATGATAACTATAACAATGTTAATGCATATATGAACACTGGAAAAATATAATTAATGTATGATTAATGTAAAAAAAAATAGAAAGACATCGAAGCGACTCTGAAAAATATCCAACTCATATATAATCCCTTTTAGGCAGCAAATACTTTGTAAATCATAAAGTTTTGTATAAAGATGTTATTTGAAAATATAAGTGGGATTTTATGTATTCAGTACACTAGAACAGGTAGAACTTAAATCAATATCGTGATCGAATATAATGAGATTCGTTAATATGAGGCACAAAGTAAAATTTATACATATTTGACATAAACAAAAAGATAATATTTAATTCACATTATATAGTTTGCATGTACATTGCTTAATGCACATTAGTAGTATAATTTATCTTAGATTACAATATCTTTAAGCTAGTTCATTGAGCTTTCCATTTATACAAATAAATAAATATTGAAGAAAACTACACGATTAAAATGAATTACGTTATGTTTACAACTATTACACAAAAATAACTGAACATTTCAGTCCATTATATACACGGGATTGACGCCTGGTCGCACGTTTAATTTGCAATTTGTTTGCGAGTACGTTTTTTTTTATATCATCTCACTTCACAGTGTTTATTGAGGGGAACTGAGAGAGTGGCCGAAGCGGTGTTAGCCACTGACGCTTCCGGAGACACCGGCGCCGTGCTCGAGCCCTCCTCGACGCTCTCCTTCATCACGTACCCCGAACCTTGCGAACTGCGGGCCAATTTTAACCGAATCGGCGTCACTTTCGCAGTACGCACATTACGCACCCCCGGTCCGCTCACCGAACTGCAAGGGGGGTCGATCGCGAGAGGGTCCGGCGCTGTGGGGTCGTATTCAAAGGGATCCACCGGAGGCTCCGACACCGCTATGGCTGCACTTGGGCCGGCCTCGTCCGACCCAGACTTCTCCTCTTCGTCTTTCTTGCGCTTTATCTTTATAATTAGTTTTGTAGCACTATCGTTTTCACTATTAATCACTTGCAGCTTTTCTTTTTCCAACTTCTTCCCCTTCTTCTTCTTACGTTTCTCACTCTTATTCAGCTTCAATTTTTTCTCTTTTTCATTTTCCTCAAAGTCTGCCATCACCATGCGTCGATACTTCATACTTTCACGGCGCAAATCTTCTAAACTAGGTTTAGGTATACTGCAAGTCAGTCGTTTTTTCGGTGGACGAAATTGGAAACCAGTAGGTTCGTCGTTTACTTGCTGCACAGTGTTAGAGCCGATTTTTATTTTCAATTTAGGTGCAACCGGGGATGTGGCTCGAGATTTACCTTGTTTTATGGCAACTCGACCACGTCTCTTATGCATCTGGCTAGTATTACTCGTATAGTTTGACAATTTCATATCATCTGATGTGTCAACATCGTCATTCATAGTTACTTCTAAGTGTCGTAGCTCTCTATTAACACCTGAAACTTTTCTTTTCTTTTTTTCAACAGGAGTGTCAGATATTTTATAATCTTCTCTTGTAGGTATGCTAGTCATCGATGCAACTGCTTTAGGGATAGTAATCACAGCGCGAGGTATTGGCTGTGGTGCAGCTGGAGGCGGCGGAATTCCTGTATTGGACGCATTAGCGGGATCATCCATATTCATATCTTGTGTCCAATATTGCCGCAATAATTCCTTCTTTCGCATTCGTCGCAAATTTGTAGACCCGGTCATGATAGAAGCAGCGGATCCACTAGCGGTGTTACTATGAATATTAATATTGGAATCATGAACAGGCGCCGGTGGCTGCGGTGCTGTTGGTTGTGTCGAACTTGTAGAGTAGTTGGCATCTAAGAAAGGTCCTTTTATTTTAACCTTTAATTGATTTCTTGAGTCGCTTAATGAAACTTTTGGCAATTGGGGTGGCTCTTTTATTGGTTCATGAACGACTTCAGAAGCTGATACCTCGGTTGATGTACTTTGTCTTGGTTTGCTGGCCATTAAGGCACTGTGTAATTGTTTTTCAACTTCTTCGTCTATTTCTACCAATGGCTGTTCAGCGGTGCCGCTAGCGAACGCCAAAAGGTGACTGTGCATGCCATCGTTGATTGGAGGCACAGGAGCTTCGACTTGTTGATACGTACGCATATCCACAGGTCCAGGTAAAACTGGCTCGACTTGGGAGAATCCGGGAGTAGACTCAGAATTACTCTTACTTGAAGGAGAACCAGGCGAATTTACGAGATCTATAGTAGGTTCTACCTCTTTAGCTTCTGGTGCAGGAGTTTTACTCTGTTGAGGACTTAAAACTTTCGGTGATTGTGATGTATCTTTATATGAATGTTCTGATTTTCTATTATCTCTGATGTCAATAGACTTTCGTCTCTCCCGAAGGGCTTTTAAATCAACACCATCATTAGCCAACTCTTCATCAAAATCGTAAACTGTTCCAACCAATTTACTTTGAATAGAATTTCCAGCAAATTCTGTGGCAGGAAAAGCATGCACAGACTGGCCGCGGCTTTTTGACCGACCTCGACCTCTTTGACTTCTATTACTTCGATTATTGTTTCGTTTAGATCCTTTGGTAACGTCGCTTTGTTTAGGCGAAATACCTGGACTTTTTCCAGGTGACTTGGATGAGAATTTGGATGTAACTTTGGCAGTCTTAGGCGGTGACTTCGATTCTTGTGGGTGAAGACTAGACATTGTCTCATTACTATCGTTCGACATTTTGGTGGGTGGTCTAGTATTACTAGCTTCATTGTAAGAATCGACGCTAATTGTAGGACTAGCCACATGAATCGAAAACTTATCGCTTCCAGTAACATCAATGTCATCGCGAGGTGAATCTAAAGGCTTTGGCGTTGGTGGTGCAATCATCGCCGTTGTCAATGCGATATTTTGTGATGACGTAGTAAATGCTGCACATAAAGGAAATGGGGGTTTAGTCAAAGGCTGAATCAATGGCGCAGCCGTAAAAGATAACCCAGAAGCATATAAGCCTCGACCTGGTGAAGGCAGAGGTAATTGCGACGAAGCGCAAGCGCCTGCCGAGAATAATGGAAGGGTGCTCATTGGATTTAAAAATGGTGAGGCGTCTGGAGCATAGTTAGAGTACTGGTTCAGAGGCATTGAAGGTTCAACTGAACAAGTATATGCCGGGACAGGTGCGTACTGATCGATATCAGCCATCATGGCAGCAGGATGTGAATCACGGCTATTTAAATGAGATTTTATTTCTGCTTTTCGGGAACACACGGAACCTTCAGAATTTGTGCTTGAATCTGATGATCGCCTAGTTGTTATTTTGCTTTCTCTCCATTTTGAATTTTGGGTCACATATGGTGGGGATATTGTAGCGCAATCCGAATGCATCAACGAGTTGTTGTTATCATAAACTTGATTGTCTTGTGATAATTCCTGATCGTTACTATGTACAGATTGATCAACAACAGACAGTGATTGTGAATCATCACTTTGTTTGGAGAGTGAGATAGTATCTGCAACTTCCGAAATCGATTGAACATCAGAGTGAACGTGACTTCGTTCTTTGACATTTTCAGTGTAAGACATAGTATGCTCATAAGTTCTTTCCACTGGCTCCATTTGTGGATCACTTTGAGCTGTTGGCACAGACATATCAGTCCAATTTTCTTTAGCCAACTGTTCCGATTCTTCGTCCTTATCATCGACTATTTCAACAATGTCATCTTGCGACCCCACGTCATCTGTTGATGAACATTGTTTATGATTTAGATGTTGTATTTCGTTAATAGGAGATCTTAAATCATGAAGCTCAGTAGGCGTAGTTTGTTTTAAAATCATTTGTTCCTGTTCTTTATCTGTGTCTACTGCAGTTCTGTTTTCTCCTTCACCTATAGCTTCTTTATCTTCATTAATATTCATGCCTTCCTCCTGTGGTACATTCTCAGGGGCAGCTTTTTTGGTACTAAGCTGCATTCGAAGACGATCAACAAGGTTAAGCGTTTCTTGAACACCTTGTTCCTTGGAATCTTCCTTAAAAAGAAACTCCGGGTAGGTAGTAAATGGCTTCATAATATCTTCATGGTTAAAACCTTCATCATCCAATATGTCAAATTCAAAAAGCTCAGTATCTTTAGTTTGCGGCGAAAACATTGATCTATTTTGGAATGGATTTGCAGTTGAGGGTATTTTAGCACTTTTTGAAATTTCCACTCCTTGTACATGGCTAACATCTTGAATAATAAATTTCTTTTCTGGATCAACACCAGAACGTCTACGCAGATTTCTCGATAAGGAATTTTCTTCCATCGGGTCTAACATTATGGTTCTCGCATCCATAGGCGTTTTTGGAGATTTAATCATAGTATTTTCATTGAGATTGGCTTGGATCTTAGCAATCATTTTAATACTACTCTTGTCAGTACAATCAGAGTCAAATGATTTATCTTCCGTCATGTATTTTTCATGGCCTCCAGGTTTTTCTACAGGCGGTGGATGAATGTGAGGACTTGTAGCTTTTGGTAACCAATGTTTATCATTACTGGCAAATTCATCAGTTACAGTGGATGGTATTTTCTTTTCTATGCTTTCTATAAATGTTGGTAGTTCAACATCTACATTTTTGTTCACTAAGAATGGAGAATGATCAGAGTGAGCATAATTTTGAGATGCTCGTCTAATCGGCTTTGTAATAGTTTCACAGGGACCCTGTGGTCTGATGGCAGTATCTTTAAATGGATAAGATTTAACACTCATGCGTCTGTTGATTATGGTTTTTTGCTTAGCATCAATGCTTTTTCTTGGACTACTTTTAGTCATTTTAGAGCTTTCAGTATCAATTGGTATTAGTTTTTGTTTTTCTTCTATCGAAATGCTACGCCGAGTAATGTCCCTACCTGTAGCTTTAACATCATTTTTCATCAACTCATTGGTAACATATGTTTCTTGTTTTATTTCATCCTTTATCTTCTCGTCCTCTTGCCGCTCCGTAGCTGAAAGTTTACGGGACTTGCAGCTCTCTTCGGGAGTTTGATTTGATCCAGAGGCAAGGGGGATGGCGTCTTTAGATGGTTTTCTCTGTCTGGCGTCACACTTATTAGACATATTTCCGCTTGTAGTAACGCTTCGGGTCCGAGAACGTGCGGAGGCACGCGCATCATCGAGTCTAACCGATTTCTCTCTTTCAATAGATGGCGATGATAACCTACACTCGGACCCCCGTTCTGAAGTTTTAAGCTTCTTGTTGGGGGCCTTGCGTGGGTTAGCATCGTTTGAGAAACTTTTCCCCCTTCTGGGACGTCGCGGTCTTTTCGGAGATGGGCTTTCAGAGCCAGAAAATCTGGATTCTTTAGTGCTGTCAGAATCACTCGAGGCACTGGTTGAAGACAATGGTCTTGACACCTTGTCGAGAAAGGGCAAGTCCACTGTTGGTCTAGAGCCAGGGGGAGAAAACATAGACGGTGGTCTAGAAATCGGTTTTATTTCCCGCGCCTTTGCTGAGGGTTTCATAGTTGGTTTTTCTTGTTCTTCTTCTGAGCTTGAGGATGAAGAGTAACTACTGCTGCTAGTATTTGAAGAGGAACTTGAAGTATCATTTACAGGTGCTTTTGAACTTTTTGCCTCATTCTTCTTAGGTGAAGACTTTGTTATATCAGATTTATCGTTATCCCTTCTTTTGTCTGAATCTGACGGATCAATAACAGGCAACTTACTGCCTAGGCCACTCTTAATATGGGCAGCCGCTTTTTTAGCTGCTTGTCTTTGTGGCACATATGCAATGGGCTCCTTTTCAATATCTTTCGATGACTTTTTACTACTGCTTTTAGCTGCATTATCTTTGCCATCTTTACCTTTTGTTTTGGACTTCGATTTAGATCGTGATTCATCGCCACTGGCTTGTTTGTCTGTACTTGATTCATCTCTTTTTGCGGCAGTGGTGGAACGCATATTTTCTGAAGCCTTTTTAGCAGCTTGTCTTTGTGGTACTATTAAATCAGATGGATCTTTCTGCTTAGATAGCTTGATGTTTTCTTTATTTCTAGCTTCATCATCTGACTCATGAGTTTTAACAGGCGTAGGCGGCTTCTTTTCTTTATTAGATGGTTTTCGACCTCGTTTCTTTGGAGCTGGTTTGTCTTCTGTTAATGATTTCTTTTCAGGGTGTGCGGAGACAAACTCTTTCATAGCTGCTTTTGTCCTAGGCAAGCCCAGCTGTGAGTCAATACCGCTAGGTGAACCTTCAGATCGACTCCGAATGGACTTTCCTTTGTCGCGTTTAGCTGATTTATGATCAGTTTTTTCAGAATCTGTATCATCACTGGTTTCAGAATAAATATCGATGGGAAATTTACTATTTCGTGTAGATCTCATTGGCATTAAGTCACCACTATCAGTACCCGACAGTCCACTTTTTCCAGCATCCATTTCTTTCTCCATTTGCTGTAGAGTTTTGCTTCGTGACTTGTCTTTTTTCACGCTCATTTTATAAGATTCATCTTCACTGCTACTTTCAACCACTGGTTTGGATTGTGGTATTTTCTTCTTCTTTCTTTCCGGTTTTTTCGGTGATCTTTTACCCTTGCCTTTGGGTGAAATCTTTTTCTTAGGGGAGCAACTAGGTTTTTTAACATCTTCATCTGTACTAGAGGCAATAGCTCGTCCACGATTTTTTGTAGAACGGTTATTTTCCGCTGAACTATCTCCACTAGATAAACCACTATACGTACTTTCATTCCGTCGAGATCCATTGACGTAATGCCTCTTATATGGATTAGATGACTTTTGACCCTTAACCAGACCATTTCGATCCTTCTTCTTTTCATCACTTGAGTCTTGAGGTGCAATCCGAGCCAAAAGTTCATCAAAATCATTTTTGTGGTCTGGTGCATTTGGATGAGAATATAATCTGTCGTAAATCGTTGGTCCATGATTAGCTTCAAGAATAGCAGTCAAATCAATTCCTGATAATCCTGGCTCAGATGATAAAACAGCTACTTGTTTATGAAATGTTTGCTCCCGCATTCGAAAGAACGATCGTGATAGTTTTTCTCTCCTGCTCACCATGTAACAAAGATTACGTACTCTTTCCAAATCTTGTCTAAGTTGTACAAACATTTTCATTTTGTCAAGATCAGCTTGCTCTTGCCTGTGAGTCAACAGCTCACTATCGTCTGATTTAGGTGGTAGCAGTGGCCGATTATGACCAGCTCGTCTTTTAAGTTTCCAGTAGTTGTAAATGTAATTAATAGCATCTTGATCCACATCAAGCAGATGAGAGCTTATATCTTTAACACTGACGTGACGGTCAAATTCTCTTTCTATTTCTTGGAGACGTGCTGCTCTTGCCTGAGTTTTTTCTTCTGACGTCATGTCTTTACGGCGTTTCCTTTTTACCTCCTCTTCCTCTGAACCAGACCCAGGACACTTTTCTTTCTTGGAATTGACGCTATGCTTTTGACAATAGGATCGTAATTTAACACCATCATCGGCATTTTCGTCTTCAATAATTGCGCGCATTTCTAAACCATGTTTGAATGCGCACGTCACATGATACGCGGTTTTACATGTTTTGACTGAGCATTGTATGCAGGCGCCTTTACGCTCGCGGCACAAAACACATACTAATGACCAGCGCGACGGGGGTATTGATGATATTTTCGTAATAGGTTCCATTTTCTCCGCGCAACCAATGGATACTTCGGGTATCCAAAGAACACAGCTTACGTGGGCCCACTTATGACCATTTGGAGTGCACTTCATGGCGCCGCCAAGATTCGGGCATAAGGCGCAAGTAGGCCTTACGCCCGCTCCGCACGGTCTGCACAGCCATTGACCTGGAGAAGAAAAAACTATACTTACAAAAAATCTATGAAGCAAATAAATAGATTTCAAACGGGTTAGGGGCCTATTGAAGACTCACCATGACCATACGTACCATCTGGGATGACAGTAATGCCATAACACGCCTGGTGAACACAAATGTTACATGAGTCGCAGAATACCATCTCATTTCCATCCTCCGAATCAGGCGACCGACAGACGTCGCAGATTACGTTCTCGTCGTACTCGATGCCCAAACCTTCTTCTGACTTCATGATGGCTTGAATTTTATCCCACGTCCGGACCTATAATAAACAAGACCGATGTAGATTGTATATTTACTCTTATTGAAAAGACCCAAAACTCCTGTATCCCGAAACCTATTGGACCTAATTGTGGATATTAAATATTCAGAGATTGAATATTTAAGAAAAACTGTCCTCTGTTCAAGAACACATAGAATACATATAAAACATTCTCTTTTCCTAAATAAATTTGACCACATGGTTAATAACAATAATACTAAATAATTTTATGTACCATGAATACTGGTTTGGAATATTTCGCACTCCTGGTATACTACAGGTATTTTTTACGTGGTCAGCTCGCAATACGTAATAAATGTTTTGTACTGTAAAGTATTTGCCAATTTTAAAGTTACTATCTGTCCCATTGGCCTTTAAAAGAATTATGTGAAAACCTTTTATAGTAGCCATCTAATGAGTAACATAAACCAGTATGGAAAGTTTTAAGTCTCTGTACATTATATCTATCCTGTGAAAAATATACCTATATAAAAACTTTCACACTTTTTAGACATTCACAGGATTAATGTGAGAAAGCCCTAAAACACTAAGTTATTATTAATTCTGATAATAACTTATTCAAGTAATTCTGCTGAAGTAACCTCTCTGCTACATACAAACTTTCACCCCTAACACCTTTAGGGCATGCATTTCATAAAATCCTTTCTTAGTGCTCACCTATGTAGTATCAGAAAGCTTTATGTAAAATTTCAAGTCTTTATGTTGAGTAGTGCTTTGTTCATTAACATATCCATAAGTCAGTCAATAATTTTATCTAGCTAATATATATATATATATATATCTTTACATAACATAAAAGACAGACTATTAAAAACCACTGAACAAATAATAATTATGTATGAGGTTGTATATTAATAAAACAATATCTATTTATAACTTAGTCGGCAAAATCCTGTTTGTTGGCAAAGAATGTTGGTTTTTGATAAACCTAAAAACTATTTAATGGATTTTCATAAGTTTTCCCCACAAGACAGTGATTAAATAAAAATTTTCAAAACAGTTCTTAAGCACATTTTTTTTAATATTAATTAAGCTAGCACTTGGTTATGCTCCCACCTGATGTTAATTGATGATGTGGTCGGACGCTCTAAACATTTCATGAAGACGAAGAGCCTGATTCAATCAATAACATTTTGTCTTACCTCTAAGTCTTCAATGACCTTTTCTAATTGGTCTTCGGTAACAGCAGAGGCGCCAGCTCTCGCCCGCTCTGCGTTCAGCAACTTGAGCCACGCCGTGTCGGTTGCGTCGAGGTCGTAACTGCACGCGGCTTCGGCAAGAGCTGGTGTTGCACTAAGGTGATGCTTGTCTGCCTGGTAGTGTGCATCCCGGGACAAATGGATATATTTGTCCTTTGGTCTGTGGATTTGTTTTGGAAAGATGTTTTACTTTGAGAATGTTTTAATTATATAAAAAGAATTGATATGTACATGTTTGTCATGCTATGTTATGCTATGTTATGTAGTTAATTTGGTATATAACTTTCCAAAACTACAATGAGGTAAATTCCGAAGGTATCACATTGTTGAGATTGCATGGATTTTATATATGGATATTGGTTATAATAATTCAAAATCATAAAAAAAAAATCATTCCGCTAAGTTGAAACTGAAACTTACAGTTTGAATTCTTCAAAATTTGAAGGCAAAGGATTTTCGATGATTTTGACCTTCGGTGCTGGGAGTGAATCTGGGTTGACGGGCACTTGTACCCCTCTTTCCCAATCCTGTTTCCAGGTATCGGTGATAACCCAGTATTCACTCGGTGTTAATGGTTCCGAATCCGGTAATTTCATAGCGCTGATGAGATCTTTTCTGAAATATTTGTTTGAGAATTCAGAATTATAGTAATATTGAATTGAGTTAAATTTACAATAATTTCAATTTTGTAATTTTTAAATCCCGAAAAAAAGGGTGAAGGCTTCGACCACCGCATGACATTTGAATTGACACATTATTATTGTCTCCCAACCATTTCAAAGAGAATGTGAGGGACAACAATATGATTTAATACAAGTGTCACTGTAGTCAAAACCATAGTAACATTAAAGTTACATTCCCTTCTATTATGCAATATTATTGTTATTGAAAATGGAATAATTCATCTAAAATCAAGGCTTCTGTAGAAAAAAAACATAAAGGGTTCAGTAAACATTATTGACTAACAATCAATTTCAGTAACAAACCTAATTAAATAAAGAAGACAACATTTTTTTTATTAAAGAGCACAAATAAATTTAAAATATTCTTTAAAATTATCAAATATAATATTCAATTTATATAAAACTATAGATTCATGCTGAATTGTTGTATTTGTTACAAATAAGTAAATATATTAAGTTAAATATTGATTGCCGTCTTAAAGTGCGCAGCTAAATGACCCTTTATAAAAAATGTATGTACAAGTGAAGAGATATTTCACCTATACATACACAATGTACGCCGGCTCATCTTACAAGCTAGTACAGTAAATTTAACCTGATAATTACAATGTAAATTTGTTGTTAATAATTTATATTGACTTTCTTATGTAATGATAACCAAAATTGTTATGATAATGTTTACATTATATCTGTTACATAATAATAACTCCATAAGATAACAATAGCTTATTGCAAGTATTGCAGAAACACAGCAGAGCAAATTATCTTATTTAATATAAATGTCATAACAAGGTTTTAACTAGAATGTGCGCTCCTAAAACTTTTTAAAGAAATATGCAAAGCTTAATTCATTTGTAATTGTTCCACTTATTGAATTAATATTTCTTTTATTATATGTATATAAACTTAATGTTTTACTAAGCAACAGTACTACTTAAATTTAGTTAGAGGTTCATCTTTGCAATGATGACCCAGTACACTGCACTGTATTGTAACATAAATGGTGTGTTTCCTTTCATCTCATTGACAGCGGGCAAGGAGTTTAAATTGCTTAATCTTCATACAATACAGTTCCGCAAGCAAAAAAAGTTCATAATAATAATCTGCCACCATTTACTTTATCAAAGTGTCATTTGCCAAACAATATTTAAAGCTAGTAGTTAGAAGAAAGCTTTTGTTCCTTTATGATTTAAGCAAGTAAAATTTTATTACAATATGGAGGCAAACTATGTTCATTGCAGCCATAAGGTATACTTTACAATTATATCAAATATTTGTAATAATATAGAACAAATAGAACTCACACACTAAAACATACCTTAAATTTTCATTGCAATTGCAATTGGCCAGACAAAACACTACTAATAATTCTTAATAAGTCTTTCACTTTCCTTATTATGCTATCAGTCCAATGGCAGCTTGGAAATTTTTTTCCAAAATCTATTTAATACTTTCTGCATAGATGTTTAAATATGTAAACTTTACAAATAAATCACAAAAATTTACTAGTCAGCTATTGGTATCAAAGCATAATTAGAAAAGATTATTATTATGGACTAATTATCATATTACAAATCTAACCAATAGTTTCCACTACCTTAACTCTTTTAGAAAACATAATCCCTCTCATTATTTTTGAAGAATAGAAACAACAATTTATTTTTGCATGGGTTTCAGCAATGGAAATTCATGGTTAAGCTATGGCGCGACAGGTGAAATCGCGAAGCATAAATAGTTATAAATATAAAGGGTGTTATACAAAGCTTTTGGATTAGTAACAACAATTTATATTCATTTTTACTATTAATTAAAGATGAGTTGACTAATATTGTCAGATTAAAATTTTACCAGAAAGGTTTCTATATTTAATTTACTAGATGAATGATAAAATTTCAAGTAATTAGAATAATGAATGAATAGTTTGTTTAAAGTTTGTTGTTTGTTTGTTCATTGTTGAGCACAGCAGAATACACACCACAAGAGGTTGTATATGTATATATGTAAAGACAGTGTTAACCTACTGGTTGAATGCAATCTGGTTTAATGACCAGCCCTCTGTATCTACAGACTGATATAATCTCGCTTCGCTATTACAGTGCACATTTTGACAACTATGACAACTACTAATAGCCACAGTATGTCATGTGTATCAAAAGAACGCAAGCCAAAAAGATATGTAAACAAAATAGAAATACTGTCACTGCATGATCATCTACTTCTTCTAGCAAAATCATACTAGTGTAATAACAAACATAAATTTCAATATTGCCAATATTATGAATAATGCAAAAGCTTTGTACATTAAAACATAATTTGCCCAGCTGTTAAACTTATTTATATGAAACATTAATATTTGATTGTTACACTTTGCATCAAAATAGATTGTTATACATACTTAAATTTTCTTTTAAATTAAAATTGCACACAAACCTGAATAGTTCAGCTGGTGCTTCAGAAGCACTTCTGTTGTATATAGATGACATCTTGAGGTCACTGACAGGTGGTAGTTGCCACAGAGCGTCTTCGGGTTCTGTTCTACGACGTTTACACTTGCCCGTGTCCTCACTGCGCACACCACTTCCCCTCTTTGTGCCTCGTAACGACATCTCAATTAGTCTTTATCTTAACCTACATGTTCACGATACTCTTAAAGCTTTACACTTAGAACGTGGTAGTAACATTGTGTAAAATGTCACATCTTCTACTACATGATGATACTTTAGATTGTATCCACATAATAGTAACTGGTGCAACCTGAAAAATACAACAAATATTAGCTAAATAAATACGTCCCACTATTGCCTGTAAACTGTAAGCTACTTGAAATGTTGTAATTTGTATTCAAAAATATCAATTAAATTTACTTTTAATATTGCTAGTTTGAGAAAGTGACATAATTATTGTTTTTCTTTTCTAATTTTTATGTTTCCTTAGCTTTTTGAAAACAATACAATTACACAATTTCAATCTTCATACAATGAAATTAAACAAAAACACCTTTCCCCAACTCCATATGTACACATTTATCTAGATAGGCAATAGTGCTCACATAAGTAGATGAAATAAACATGCAAGGTAAAACAGGACAGGACTATCAAAGAAATCAATACAGGTGCATACTCAACATAAGATATGTATACATATAGATACAATTGACAAAATCTGCATTGGAAAATTGAAGCAAACTATGTATATAACTATTTTTTTTTACTATTAAAGTTTATTTCGCTCGTCCGAACAAATACGTCAATACTGATTTTCATAAAGATTGAGAACAAGTGGTAATGGTAGAAGCAAAGGGCTTTTTGTTATTTGATCACTAATGAACATTTACATGATAAAAGACACTATTAACTTAATTTTAACACTAAACAACAAAATTTAAACATAATCATTTGACATTTCATTATTGCAAGAATAAAATGTATGGCGGGTCATGGATGGCTCTTGTACGACGTAGGTATCTGCGATGCACACAACGCAGTTTCAGTTTGCCGTCGGGATCTTTAAATATGTTATAAACATTCTAAAAATTACCTTCACATATTTTGGACACAAATATTTGAAATTCCATCCTCTAATTATTAAAACCGTAAATATTTATTACGCGGATGGTCTCCATTTTACTACATAACAAAATTGACAACTAGATAGCAGCACTGTTTTGTTGCCAGATTGACGTTATTCCTACGCATCATTTTTGAGGGTATAGACATAGCTTAATATATATATGTATGAAAGAAAGAAGAAGCAAACTACGTATTTAGTTATAAAAATACATTACTGTAAAATAAATTGCATTTCACTTACATTTTCTGCAATAGACATTTGGCGCCATTGATCCAAAATCCACTTGGTCACGTGACTATATACGAATCACCAACGCAAGCCAAGTAAAATGGCCAAAAGCACATCGAGTTCATAAAATGTCATTAGTTTAATAAGGAACTTATCGCATAACACATTCATTGAGACAGAGTTTTCAATGCGTTTACGCTGATATTAGAACAAACACAATCACATATTGTCACCGAAACGAAAAATTTATCAAGCAAATTTTACATGAACTGCGAATGAGAGATATCAATAACATGTACTGAAAATGGCCGGTAGTTGGCGCTCGCCGTGGAGAAAATTATTATTGTTGCCATAATAAATATTCTTTTTCACCTATTTATAGGAACTTTCATTAACTTTAGCTTTAGTTTACGTTTTAATTCTACGGATTTAATATTAATTTCAGTTTTCAATTTATCCAGAGAAATGTAAGAACAAAAGCTATATCAAAAACAGTAAAATTATTATAGTTTTATCAGTTGTCTAGTCTTGTTCATAAAATCCGAATTAATGAATCTATCAAATATTACTATTATAATATTGCTTTACGTTTTCAATTAATTTACGTGTCGTGTAATATTAAATACCTATACCTATACCAATTACTCGTTCAGCTTCAATCCAGTAAATAGACAAACTGAACATAAAAAATGGGCTCGGTTACTACACAAAAGAAAAGGTTTTTATTGCTAAAAATTTATCATTGTATCAGTAGTTTTTGACTTAATGTTAACAAAAAGTTAACAAAATTATTGAACATGTAGTGGGTAAGAGTAATAGCCAGCAATCTCTATATAAGTAATTTTATCTTCAAAATCAAAAGAGAAGTTTGACAACTTCCTTTGTTTCAACAAAGTTGTGCCATTTGGACTTAAAACCTTTGTAAAGTATTAAAATATAGCGGTTAATCATAAAACTGATAACCAGTAAATGTATTTTAAACCACACCCAATAGTATAATTTTATAATTATATTTTTAATTTTGTATCCATGAAATGTTTTACGTAGCTGCTGGCAACACCCAGTATTGAATAGTCTTTATATAGGTATGAATATGAAGCTTTGCCGGTTCTCGAATATACAAATCAATACTTGACCTACATTTCAACGTATATTATGGTAGCACTGATGCCGTGACTGTAAATCTGTAAATGATATCAAATGAATTATTTATTTCACTTTACATCTTGTTTACTTCACTCTAATGTATGATCTCAAATTTTACATAATTTTGTTGCGGTTCATGGAGATACATTGACATCAATATGGTTTCATTATGCAGGATTTCAGAAATTTAAAGTAGGGAGTTAGGAGAAAACAATCTTGTCTTTTAAAGCGAGAACTGTTCGATACCTTTATATTTTTTGAACTGCTAAAACACAAGAATGTTATAGCATAATTTAAATGAAATTTATTATTAAGGTAATAAAAAAACCATATAGTAATAAATATTGCCTTTGTTATTAATGTAAATGTAGCTTTCTGGTAATGGTAAAGAATTTTTGAAATCAATACAGTAGTTTTTTACGTTTTGTCGTTTTGTACAAAGATATAACAATACAAAATGTCTAACATAAGGGTGTGGCAAAAAGTACTATTTATTTAAATTATAAATGTCTATTCAATGCTGATGGGATATACCATCACGCTGCGCCTATCTACTCATGAGCTGATGAGGCACGGAATAACGGGCAAAATATCTGAGCAGCTAGTGCCTAATACGCTACTTTATCCGACTTGTGCCTTCAAACTTCGTATATTATTATGGTCAGCAACACGTCCCCATAGAGGGGCGAAGACATGTGTAGGTTGCATCACGATGTTATACTTCATAGTAAAAACTTGGAATAGGTGTACATGATATAGAATTCAAAAATCGAAAAATTACATGGGTACATGGCGGGGATCGAACCTGAACCTGCAAAATTCAAATCAGATACTTAGCTCCTGAGCTACCGACGCCCTTGTATATATATGTGCGTAGATTATTAAATTGTCGTAATTTGTGTTCTTTTTCTTTAATACTTTCTTGTTTCTTTTATTATTATTTTATATAATTTCCAATATCGGTAATTGACGCTTATTTAAGGCTTTGGTATAAAGCTATTATTATTTCAAAGTCATAATATCTAAAGAGAGTTTAAGAGTTAATTTTCAATGTCCACCCGCTTACACAAAAATAAATTGTCATCCTCACAATATCATTGAAAAACAATATGTTTTAACACAAGTATCACGACACTCGAAACCCTAGTAAATTTCCAACTTCGGGTTTGACAAAATTTTACTCAAAATTGAATTGCATTTATCTAATGATATTTATTAATAGTTATTGAATTATTTTTCACTGTACCGACTATTTTCTGATCCGTGGGAGATCCTTAATCACAGTGATTTGATTAATGCGCAGGATCTCAGTTGCGTCACGTCTGGGACTGCGTATCTCGGCCTTGGCTCGCCTCGCGCGTCTCGGGAGGAGGGAGGGGAATTGCAAATTGGTCACGTAGTCTGGTGTCTGCGTCGCCCGTGGTGTTATTGTGGTGCAATTTTATTTAATCGAACCTAATATACTGTGTTAATCAGGAATAAGGGCATGATCCACCACCACCGATGTGTTGCTGGCAGTTGACACAGCCATTAATTTATTTTTAGATATGAGAAAAAGATAAAATTTCCTTCTCTTTAAGAACGTCGATTAACAGTTGGTATATCGCAAGGATCAGGTTAGATCCCGCCCGTGTAGGTACATTAGTACAAGTCCAAGTCTTAACCCCGGAACAATCGATACTCTTAGTTCGGGTTAGAATAAATAAAGTAACTTAAAAAAAAAATTCGCGACTTTAATCAATAAATCCAATTTAACTAAATAATAAAAAAATCTAAAATCAAAGTATCAAGACTATGCCAGTGCACTACAATATTTTGTATAATCAATACATTTATGTATACAAATAACTTGGAGTGTCTGTTTTAATATTGAAATACATACACCAAAACAACATTTTTTTTAAATTGTTGTTTGTCTATCTATCTGTCTGTCTGTTCCGACTTATCAGTCATCAGTCCCGTGTCAAAGTCAACAAATGTCACAAGATACTCTTTGTACTGTAGCTGTCAAGCTGTAATGTTATTTTATTATTTTAGTTTATGACAGAACCAAAGAGTATATAGAACTAAGAACTAACCGCGATAGCAGAGCCTCTCTTAGATTTTATTGGCCTATTATTTTATACATTATGTTTCAAATAAATATTCATTATTCATTCATTTCACTGCTCATTAATGATAATAAAGAATTTTGTGTCGTGATTCGTATCCCAATCCCATAGTAAATCCGTATCTCTCCCTTGTTTTATAGTTGACATTTTATATCTCTGTCTGGTTGACATATGAAATGAAAAAAACATGTAAATGATTTTGGAAATAATGGCGAATTAAAGGTCAAACCTATTAAGAAGCAAAAGTAAAATGTATATAATGTAATATTGTTTGCATGGGGACTCTTAGAAGAGTTGGCATGGGTGGAATGAATCCATCTCCTGCTCACACGTAAATACGCGCTAAACGTGAAGTTGCTGAAAACCGAACCCATACAACTAAAATACATATACCGTTGGTAAATGTATAATAAATCCACCTTTAAAATATTACATGTTACTGCAGCTTTTGGTCGCCACTTCTGCGCGGAATTGAAAAAAATATAGTAATAAAGAAACCCTATGTTTAGAAAATAGATATGATCTTAAGCCTATGCCACTCAGTGGTAATGTACCTTTTTAATATAATATAATTTTTCATTAGTCACATACAAAAATACAAATCTTACCTAATCATTTTAATGGGAAAAAAGACATGTATAGATGTAAGAACTGCTTTCAGACTAAATAAAATCAATACTTTATTGCTTAAAGTTTGTTATTGTTCTTTATATTCACAAAATTAGTAGAAAATAAGATTAATATAAATAAAGGACATCGTTCCTGTCTCAATTAGGAAACCCTACCGTCTAAATCTTTACTGGCCTCTTACGGCCAAAGATTTGATTTTTACTTTACTTCGTAAGGAAAGAGCTCAAATATCAATAAACTTAATCTTCCTATGAAATATTTTCAAATAATATTATTGTATGTGTACATATGTATATTGTGAGGGATCTTGCTAATAAAACTGTTCTCTTAAATTTCAAGTTCTTTATTGAGGACGCACTTCCTCTGATCTCAAACATCAATCCTATTGAGATCTATATTTCTTTTTGTTTTTCATTACAGCCAATGTACTCTAAGCTATGTAGATTTTAATCTACAAGATACAAGAATGTATATGGTTAGTAGCCAACATATAAGCTGCATAAAAGGTAATGAAAACAAGCTGCTTGATAGTGTCACTTAAAGGTGTAGCTGCCTTTAAAATGATTGATTGCAACAAAATGCTGCACTTTGCCCAGTGATACATTTGATGACATGATGACATATACCTCTAAAAGTGATACATTTTTTCAAAGTTCAGTGTTAATCTTATTAATATCAGTCAAAACATGTTCTATGTTTTACTAACATATAGTTTGGCAAGATGAGCATAAGAAAAAAAATAGAATGCGAAGTATTCAACATACTGAAATCGACCTTTAGCTTTAATTGAATCATATCAGCGACATATTGCCAACGCTGAGTGTAAGAATTGAAAAAAAAATCACCACAATCGGTCCTCCACTGCCCTTATCTGCCTATCCCTTGTATGATATTGAACACATTAATTGAAATTTAATGCATTTGTACATAACTTTCTTATCAAATATTAACTCAAAATTCAAGGCATACATTGCAATGTTAATCATAATGTGTGTAGTGTATTTCAATAAACATTAGAGCCAAAAGGCTTGCCAGATGAATTACAGTAGTTTGTTTGGTTTTTTGATAAATTGTTGCAAAATTACCAATTCCATAAGGGTTACCCTTATGGAATTGGTAATTTTTGCCTATTAAAAAATATGAAGTGTTATTTTTAGATTGAATTTTTTGTAGTATAATCTTAGTAGATTATACTATTGTATTTACTTGTGTGATTATATATACTAGTGTATATATTATAAATTGTTAGTTGGAATATCCTTTATGCGGATCCCAACTTGCTGCTTAGCTGCACTCCTATTCCTGGAACCTTACCTGTAATTTGAGGTTATATCTAATTTAAGTAACCTTATGAATGTGGTCTTTCTACATCTTTATTGTTCTTGTGCTGATCTATATTTAACTTTCGGTGAAGGAAAACATTGTGATGAACCTGTACATATCTGGGAAGAAATTCAAAGTGTTAAGTCAACCAACCCGCACTTGGCCAACATGGTTTATTAAGTTTTAGTCACCCCTAATTTAGGGTAGGTTTCAAGCCTCTTAGGGGGGACGTATAGTGAACTGATGATGATGAAATTCAACTTATGTTCAGTTTCTGCGGTCACAACAATTGTAAAAGAAAAGTGTCATCGCTACATTTCTATTGAATGTATGGAAACAGAGGTGTTTGTGCATTGATTTATTGAAAGTTAATACTAACTGTAGATGCTTTTTGATATGTTTGTAGCCAAGAGATCCTTTCGTATGGATGTAACACACAAAAAATGTGTTCACTAATGGGAACAGATTCCCATTTCTGCATTCATTGAAGAAACACATCCAGAATATTAGACTAGACTATCTACAAAATACCGCTGCTCCTAAAGAAGTGATTACCTGATTGTGGTTATTAACAACTAGGTCAATTTTGTTCCTGATAATCTCCGGAACAGCTGATTTATGCATATAATAGGCTACATTTACTTTATTCTGCACTGACGAAGTCGAAGGCAACGCTAGTATGTACTGCAATAAGAATAAGGGCATTGGAATTTCACGGTAAGGTTGGGGTTAAATGAAACAAAAATCTGTTTGCTAATTAGTTTTTATTAGTATACATTATTCAACAATTACATTATTTTTCAGTTTAAACATTGAGATACAAATTATGCATTAGAAACAGGTTTACAGACTGGTTTACTATACGACACTGAATCGTCTTAGAAAGCTTGGAAAGATGAAGTAATGACATTGACTTGTTAATTCGCATAATTTTATATCAATATTTTAGTGACATTTTGATTTTTTTTCGAGATATATTTGTTAGATATCATAACTGGTGGGACATTAATTTTTACTTATAGTGAAAAAAATCAATGAAAAATACCACCCTGTTTAGGGGATTCATACATTAGCTTAATTAGCTGTCAGAATAGTTATAAATTTCGATATTTTGTTTCTCAACACAATCTCGCCGACTTAGGCCCTATTTGTAACTTTTTATCAGTTTAATTCAATATAAATATTTCTTATAATAACTTAAAAATAAAATTTGAACATACGACTATATTAAAAAAATATAAAAAGTGGAATGATAAAAATTTGGAGATTCATACGGAGAATACATTCTTACAAACCCATACACACCTTTATTTCATTTTACAGTTTACAAAATAATGTGTAGACGGTTTAAAAAGACGGCCTAGTTTTAAAACGATATATAGGTAAAGATTATTTCTTTACATAAAAATATTTTTTTTAATTTGAATATGAAAAATATTTGAGGAAAAATGTTACAATTAAATCTTACAAAACTTCTATGGCACCAAATTCAATTAAAGTCTGTGTTTATAGGAATTTCTATTGCGACTAATAACATATGTGATTAATTGGAATAACTTTGTAATGACAAAATAATGAGGAAACATTAGTCACAGACCACATAATATACCAATCACAAATTATTTAAATAAAATAATTATTTATTTCATGAACATTTCCTTTCAAAACAAAACACTGATCCCCGATAACAATAACCAAAAACCTGCTTATTTTGTACCAGGGATCCCCACCAATGGCATGTACGAAGACAATATTCCAATTTTGTACACGCGATGATTGTATCCATATGTTTTCTTGCGTATTTCAAATGTCAACACAATCTCAAGAAAGTGTTGACAGATTATTAACACTTTAAAATATGAAGTTTGTTTGATTGTGATGAAGTTTGATTTGGAAAGTGACAGACTACTTTGTAGATTGCAGGTACAGATTAGGATCATCTACTATGTTATTTACCTACGATTATTTATTAGAATTCTATAATGTTAATATATTTTTGCTACATCTACATATGATAAAATCGTTTATATTAAATTAACATCAATAATATTTTTACTAACATCAAATGTAACTTTGGACTAGAAGGATAACATAATCAATATTAATTAGACAATAAACAATACACAAAACCATCAAGATAATAACCATGTTGATTAAGTTAAGGGTACAATTACATTTGGCATTTGGGTATCATATTGTTTGACACTCGAGATATATTTAAAAGATAGAGAAAACATTGCCTTGAGGCGATAAACAATTTAAAACTTATTCTTAACATATCATAATTCGAAGTAAAGGTCTCGATTAAAAACTGATTCGTTGGGTTGGGTTGAATATAATTAGATTATGAAAATTGACTCCTGGTTCTCCAGAATGTAATCGGTAAATGCGTTAATAGGAGCAATTGCCTGAAGAGTCATCTGCCCATTTGGAGGCCAAGCGAGATTTGGGCCAAACACTACAGCCAGGTTGTTTGCTGTCATCTTATTCAGGCAGCTCCTATCTTGCACCTAAAATAATCAACATACTAATTAAAAACAAGAAAAACTTTTTATACGCAAAACAGTGAAGTTCATTCATTTAGAATTCTTTAAATTGTCATTTGTTTCTGTGAAGGTGTATTAAAGTGACATTCATTTACAAAATAACTAGATTTGTTATGTAAGAAGTGATTTTAAAGTCTATTCGAAATATTTTTATGTTGTACTCACCTTCCACAAGAATTGCATGATGTACTTCAACACCTTGTAATTCACGAGAGGAAGCCCCTCTCGGACCAAATACTTCACTTTCCGTGACTTTTCCTGAGGAGACCAAGCTACAAAACAATAAAAATTATTAAAACATTTAATTGCGTTTCATTAACTTTCCTTGTTATTGCACAAAAGAAGTCTGGAGAATCAATAATCACCATAATAAATAAACAACTCCAGGAAATTATCTTAAATTCGATACAGATATCTAGCTTTATCAGTTAATTCTAGGAATATAGGTCACAGAAATGGAACAAGGTCGTTAGTCTATGTTCCCTGCCAGATTAATCAATAACTTCCCAGTAAATAGTTTGATGTACTGTGCACATACAGTAAAAGGTAATGGGGTATTGATTTTGTAGCAGAGGCATTAAACATGAGCCTTACGATATTAATATAAATCTGTGTAATAAAATAAAGTTTTGAAAATTTAAATGTATTTTTGCTTTTAAAATTATATACAAACTAGCGGTCGTACTCAAGTTATGTCCGCGCAGAATTGAAAATAAATATAATTAGTAGCCTATGTGATCTACCAGACTATGGTCTATATGTACGCAAAATTTTATCAAGATCCGTTCAGCCGTTCTGGAGATACCTTCAAATAAACATCCATCCATCTATTTAAGCATTCGTATTTATAATATTTGTAAGATTTCTGGGAATTTCCCAGAAATAAAAAAAAATTAAAATAAAAGTATTCTGGACACTTATTTCAAAAATATACTAATTAATATGAGATCCTCGTTATATTTTGTCTATTTAGACACATGATATGCTTTAATATAATTGATATCTAATATTCAAGGTCTTTTTTAATTACCATGATCCGCACTCAGTATATTGTTCCAAATCAAACGTAAAGTTTGCAAACAAAGAGCACAAAACACTTTCACTAAATTTTTTCACTATTCCTACCACAATTATTAGACATACGATACTAAGAATTCAATTTAAACACTTCATATTCTTTGTTCACTGAATTTTACATCTCAATGAAAACATCTAATAAAAAGTGAAAAATAATATAACAGCCACTAGCTCTCAGGTTATCTAGAAACACTTCCAGTTAAGTTCTGAATTAGAATAAAATTAAATGTAAATAACACCACAACTTACTTTGAAAGTCCATGATCTTTTCATACATATCAAACGTCAGCAGCGGTTCCTCAAGGTCTCGAAGGAAAGTTTTTAATAATACTGCTGCATTGTGTGGATCATTTTGGAATGAAATCGGTTCACCCCGGTTGCAAGCCCTGAGCAACTCCTTTATCACTGTAACGTTAGCTGATCGTCGAAAGATTCCCTCCGTTTCCAAAGCTAAAATAATGATATTGGTGTTAGTAAAAACATTTCGTAAAATTATAAAATACAATTTAAATAAGATAGTTTATCATTTACACTCTTAAATAGATTTGTTTATTGTGTACAGTAGTGTACATATTATTACAAAGTAGTAGTATTATAACAAATCTTAAGAAAGGAATACGGACTTAGTCCTTATCCTCCATCTTATCATCCTCCTATTTAGGCTTAGTCTGTTTTTTTCTTCAAAATATTTAAGAAAAACCACGTAATATAGGCTAAAAGAATATTTGAAAAAAAAGGAAGCTTATAATAGGGTGGATGAGTGACATCACTTATTATTGGAGTTGGTACAGTGAATGGTCACTTTATGTACAAGGAAAATAAACCCAAAAATGATTTTGCATTTATATTCAAATGCATTATTCCATGTTTAGTAGATTTATAAGTCATTAATGAGAAACAATATTACAATTTTATGGGCTACTGTCTATGTGTACATTGTCCACCATTTTTGTTATTTCTCATTTCGTGAGTACGCGTTTTGTATCAAAATCAATAAGCTCACCATCTGGCTGGGAGAGAAACTCGACGCACTGTCGTACTACAGGCGGAATCAAACCCACCAAATCTTTATTATTATCATATATAAATCGCAGCGAAACTCCAAACTGCTGGGTGGCGGGCGGCAACAATCCCCGTTTTCGTGCACCTGAACCTTGGCCACCATCTTTGGGTGATGCCTCACCATCTTTTTCTTTGCGACGTCCGCTTCTATTTTTGCTTTCCAACATGTTGTCGTACCTATAAAAATTAAATAATTGATTTAGTCATCGTCAATTGTTTCTCTTCAATTTCGTTTTTATATTTTTCTAACATATTGTTCTTTACCATATGTTACACAGATGGTAATCGAAATAGTCCCTTATTTGACGAAACATTAAGTAAATTTCGACAAATATCAAATAAAAATGGCTTAAAAGTAATATTTTTTGGAATCAATAAATTCGATACGAAAAAAAGAAAAAGGGGTATGGGTTGGCTAGGATGATCATATATTTATATGAAAACAATGAAGCAACAAGTATTATCAGCCAGATTACGTTTTTACGCATTACCAAAGTGCAATCAATAAAATTACCATTCGGTTCTGGTTCCTAGACAGTTACCCGTGACTACTGTTGCTGTATCACTACTCAGGTACCAATATGTTTTGTTTTCAGGAGCGGCGCAAGCAAACTGAGAGAAATGAGTTTATTGACATATGACAGCGTGTTTATAAACCTCAACTGCGCGACATGCGCAATAGGTTCCAACTATATTCTACGACGATTCTGACAAAAGTATCAAGAAACTTACTCCAATACTTGTTCTGGAATGGGTATTTTGTCTAAGCCTAAGTGCTGCTGAAGCTCATGCAACGAGTTCACGTACATCATCTTCCGTCCGAATTTGACGCTGATGGCGGGTCGTAACATTTGCCATACAATACGTATGAAGTTTGTAGGGTGAACCAGATATAGAGCTTTGAGATTCTTTTTATATTTTCTATCAAAGGCTCTGTAGGCTTTCCACAGCCAAGATAGAGGCGGTTTATTTTGGCTGGTGAGACCATGATGGAAGTATACCACACTGTAATCTTGTTCCACGTATTTATCTAATGTGCACATCAAATATCTGTAAATCAAGGTAAATTACGTTTTAATACTTGTAAGAATAGTGCTAGCTCTTAAGTACGTATTTATTTATCAAACAGTATGAAAATAAACAAACCTTAACAATTTGTCTGGGTGCAAGTCTTTGCTTGAGGGAAGTTTGCACGCAGATATAACGATTATGCGGCGACCAATTTCATCATCTCCTACTACTTCAATGGCACCATTTCTAGCAAGTTCCGCAAAGTAATCATACTCTTGACTAGTTGTTGCAATCTATGAACCAATAATCAAAATAAATTTAATTTTTGTTATGATTGATTGTGGTTATTGTGTTGCAATACTTTCATTAATCAATAACCTACATATATTGATTAAAGAAATGAAATGAAACGATTAATGCAACAAATCAATACTATTTTCAAATTGAATAAAATTAAACTGGTTGAGCCTCTAAAACACAATATAAAATATGTTTTTATCCAATTTTGTAATATCTTACGTTAAAAAATTTATGACATTTAAAAATGTGCTTATTTTGTTTGTTAAAAACTCTATGTTTAGTGTAGAATAGTAATGTCTAACCTCAGCATAAATTTTCGGACTACCAAGTTCTTTTTCAAAGTTCTCTTCGATGGTTCCATCACTTGGTGTTTCATCTATAAAGTCATCTGCTAAATCTAATAATTCCGGGGGCAATGGTGCTAAAAAAATTAATGTTATAAAAAACACTATAGTAACTAATTATGGGAGTGTAAACAGAATTTAACTGAAAATTCATTACTTTTTTTGGTATGTCACTGTTATTATTTTATGTTTTCTATGTGGATATGTGGATTAATTTTATTTATTTAGTAAATGTATCAGTATGAATCTTATCACAGTATCATCTTCAGCCTAGTATAAGATTTTTTATTTATTATATTTTTGTATATTTATGGTCCTAACATTAGAAAGTTCTTCTAATAATTATTAACTTAGGCCATTTTTTTTATCTATTTATATTACATGTTTTTGTATAGTTTCAATTGTGAGACTTAATTGTTATTATATACTGTTCATATAATTTATTATGACTAATCATTGCACAGAATATGCTAAATTATTCATGTTATATGGCCACATGAAATCATGTCAAATGATGATTGTTTCATATATTTTAACTAACCTTTTTTTAAGTAATCATAATTCTAATTGCCAAAAACAAAAATCTTCCTTTATGTTTTAGAAACTTCTTTTTATATCCATATAATTTAATATTTCTGCACTTAGCAGCTTTTTTTACTATCAATTATACCTCAGATAAGTCATATTATTATGTTTATATTTGTTATAGAGGCAAATAAAAGTAGATATTATTGTGATTCTATGTCCACAAGCATTGTACACTAAGACATATTGAATAGGAAAAGTTGTAGGTATAAAATAATTTAAATGATAATATCACAAGTTAGGACAGTTGCCAACTTAATCTCCTATAAAATAAAATAAAAAAACTAGAATTTATTAAATTGTAAAAATTTTACAATTTAAAAATAATATTCTTGGTTCCCTCTCTATTTACATAAAATGAATCCATTCACAGTACCCACTATGTTAGAATGGTTTGCAGATTTTTCATTACTTTAACATTTGTATAAATACTGTAGCTTTAATGATTTAAAGTTTTTGATCAGCTATATACTTATAGATATATCTAAAACAATGGGACTTACCTAAACCAGTATTTTGAACTAATTCTGAATCATCAAATTCCAAGCAGGGTTCATAATCATGGTATTCAGAAAGGCTTGTATAACTTTCATCTGGATCCATGTTACCACTATGTAGTACTGTGTGACAAAATTAAATCAATATAAGTAATTATTTGCACCTACCTTCCTCAACATTACAAAATAATAAAGTACTAGTAAAATAAAAGATAGAAGTGAAAATAAAAACTAAAATGTAATCAATCATAGTCAGTTGTAATAGTTATAATCTTGTCGTACGTTAGTTATAATTTTTTTCAAAATGTCGATTGTGGAGATCTACCGACGTTAATGCCGTATATAAATGCTAAATTGCTACATAAAATTGTGTAGTTTTTTTACAATTACTTACGTAGCAGAATTCTAGACGCCGTGCAATATAGGTGTCATATCGCTAGACTAAAGTTTTGATTTTGTTCAAAACTTTGGAGAAAATTAATCATTTTATAAGTACTATAAAACTTTATAATTTTGTCGGTAACTATGGTAATGTGTTGTTCGCTTATCGTTGATCTCATGTACTTACGTCTAAAAGCCCTAACAGGACTAAGCTTCGGTTGATGTTCGGACTCGGACTCCATAGCGTAACAATAGGACACAATTCCAACACTTGTCAGCCCGACACTTGTTTCATGAGTAACTATATCTGCAATTTTACTCTGTCTAGCGATACGAATAAAACAATTAATCTAGAAAAACTTTATTTACTTAGCGAACTATCTATTACACGTTATAAAAATTACGCGAACTATACTTTTACAACTAAATGAAACAAGTAGTTATATTTTTCCAAGAAAAGACACATCACATCACCCGTATCCGTAGCTTTAATAAATGGCATAGAGTCAGATAAGAGTATAGACAAAGCTGAGCGAATAAAGAAGATCTTATAAGAAGACTTTTATTCAAATATTTCACAATTTTTATTTTTAATTTTCCGTATATTTTAAGGTGTTTTAAAATAAATGATATTTTTGCACTCATACAAAGCGTTTAAAATAACAGCCTGCCGTATAGTCTATACAAGCTATATAAGCTATACCTTAATTAAAAAGATTTGCAGACTATAATTAGCAACAAAGTTATAACAATAAAATAAATTATTTACTTAAGGTGTACATTTTATGTGGTTTATTGTGCCTTGTGAATTTATGCATAACAGAATTTTCTCAACCTAACATATATTGGGCACAATTGCGCATGCCTTTCTGAAACCCGCATGCGCAAATGCCACCCTATGATATATTTTATTCTCCATAAATACCATACATATAATATAGAAACTGCGCAGAATGGTCTCGATGTAATATTTAAAAGCATACGCAAACGTGTGCATGCATTGTAGCCTCTAGTTAAGCAAATACAATCAAACATATAATAATATTGCCTATATTTATGCTACAAGGTTTTGTTGGAAATAATTAGTCCAATTACAATAAATACTAAGTTATCATTTATCGTTAACGATTTATTCAGGCAACTGTCACTTTGGTTTATATTTTTTACACTTTGTTACAACATTTATCTAAGTCTTTTAACAAATTGACAATAATAGAAGGATAATGTTAGTGATGGAATGCATAGATGGAGATGCAGACCTTCGATGGAGGACTTTCCATGGAAGAGATTTACATAGAGACAGCTTGTCATACATCATACAATGACTTATAGTGTGTATATTTGAGGATAATTAGTTTGACAACTGACTCCTATGAAGAAATGAAAGAATTAATTTGTATGAGAATAAATATTGTACTTAATGGGCGCTTGTCACAGTGACGGACCGTACAAGCTGGTACAGCCAGCGTCTTAAATACCGTAGCAGACAAGATATGCAAATATATAGGTACTCCAAAAGTAATCAATTATATAAGTACAACAAAAGTCCTCAAATTAATAGATTGATTCACTCTGCTCAAATACATCGGTATATACACATCGTCAAGTATATGAGTACATTCAAGGTGCCCATAAATATAGTAGCAGCCACAGTATTTGACAAAATTGAACTCTATCTCCATAAACCTGTAGTACAATTTTGATTATACTAATTCTGTTAAATTCATTTGACACTCACATCAAAATTTGCTATAAGTTTCGTCCCGAATGACAGATATTAGATAAAACCAACATCAAATTTGAGTTTGTTATCATATATGCTAGTTTGGTCTCGTGGCCTTACCGTTCGCCGCCGTTGGTACGTAAAGTCGGCGGTTCAAATCCCAAGCCACTAATTCTTTTTTTTATTTAAGCTTTTTAATTTTAATATTGAAGCACATGTAATTAAACTCTATCGCCGTAGTTATTAGGTACTTTTTGATATTGCCTTGGACTAATGAGTTCCACCGTTAAAGTACTTTTCTATTTCAAACAAAAATGAAGGAGATGAAGCCTTGCTCGTCCCTTTCATTTTAAAGATGATAAAGCATCATGATATGGCATGTATTTTGTTTTTTATTACTCATGTTTGTTATTGAGAAATGTTGTATGAATTTTTTACACCTAATTCTACCACATGAGTATGGTAACGGTAAAATATCACGTTACCTTTTACTGATAATGAATTATATTTACGAAAAAAAAATACTGAATGTCAATATCCAAACTACATCAAATTTTTGGTCGATTGCAATAAACATTCTAGCGTGCGTGGGCGCGCACACATAGATAACACTTGTAGTATAGTTTCCGCGTATTTCATTTATAAAACCCGCAATGACAATCCACGCTCTGCCAACTCACTTCACCTCGCGATGGTCTAACCTAATTGTTGTTAACTTGATTTAAATGTCTTTCTACTAACTAAAAAAACAAAAAAATTGTCGAGCAAAATTTTACTGGTTATGTAAAAATAACCCTATATGAGTGATTAAAAAAATGAAAAAAAAAGTATTTTTGAAAAAATATACAAAATTAGTTTTTATCTCAACCAATGAAATGAAATTATTCACATTAAAGAAATTTTTGTGACGTTTGATAATGGTGGAAATCCGAAAGTGAATCCACTTCAGCTACAGTCTGTTCTAAGCTACCTATCGAAAATAGGAACGAACTTTCCGGACAACCTATAATATGAATAAAAAGTGTAACAGAAGTAGTCTATTCCAAACTGTATTACAAGTAAATAGAGATAGAGTTCAATTTTGTCAAATGTTACGATATTTTTGCATACCTTGACTGCTTAGTTACTTATGACGCTGTGGCTGCTACTATATTCATGGGCACATTGAATGTACTCATATATTTGATGCTGTGTAGGTACCGATGTATTTGAGTAGAGTAAATGTATCTATTAATTTGAGGACTTTGTTGTACTTATATAATTGATTACTTTTGGAGTACCTATAGTACATTTGCATATCTTGTTTGCTACGATATTTATGACGCTGACTGTACAAACAAACAAATACCCATACTCCATCGTTCATAGAACGCATTGTAACAAAATTAATCGAATAATTAAGATTTGGTTTTTTTTTTATAAAATTTTGTATATAACATTTATTGGACTATGTGTAGCACAATTAACTAAAAAAACATTAAATACATTTCTTTCTTGTTTATTAACACCTCCATATTTGGTTTAGTGTTTTTATTCTTTATGTAGTTTTGTAGAATAAAGTAGGAATAGAAAGAAACAATATTATCTACATGTATTGCAATTCAAAACCAATACTCACAAAATTATCGATTGCGAGTACTAGAAGAGCAACAATCGAAAATTGAAAAGATTTATAACCGATTTCATTGACCCATCTCTAAAGAATTGTCAAACTAATCATTAAATATATAACTACATTTAGTTTAAATGTTTGTTACCGCTGTCGAAACTTATATACAGAATATTATATGTTTTCTATTTGGCTTAAATTTCATTATTAACCAGTCTCCTAATTCTACCTACTTTATTCACCCTTCCACAAATATAATAACATTATTCTAAATAATAGTCCTTAATCCACCACCAAATATTACTATAATACTTTAAGACCTACCGTTTTTCTATATTTAACCATTTGACTTATTGATAAATTTTTTGAGTAATAAGCACATTCTAGTTATTAATAAATATGGAAACATGTAAAAATTTATATTAAATATAGAATGTAAAAGTGAAAATATTTGTAACATTATTTTAATAAGATAATCAATTTTTTAAAGGAGTTTACGCGGCCTTGGGGACGGACATACAGATAAAAATAGGTTTTTCGTATCAGCTATGCAAATATATCATGGGTACCAAATATAATTCTTTTTTTCGACATTACAAACAGACACTCTCATTTTAGTTTATAGATATAGAGCTGCTTGGTTCTTTCCACTGTAAATTTGCATATATTTGTGAATATACACCACTATTTTTAATTATCAGAAAACATCAGATACGGTAGATAAGTTAATATTTTTACACAACAAAGACAAATTAGTAACAACTTAAAGTTATAAAATACCATGTAACATCATGGATATAACACTTTTTCAATCTAAATATTATTGTGATCAATTTTTTTTAATGATTTATTTTGTTTATAACATACTATCTGCTTCCTGCGACTTCGTCCCCGCAGAATTAAAAAAAACTATAAGCTATGTCGCCCTGGGGAGTATAGCTTTCCAACAGATAATTTTTCTGAACTATTATTACAGGTGTTGACTTTGTTTATGACAGTCAACCGATAAAATAGGTTTGTTTCAGGATAATTTTTCGAATTTTATTTGATATCAAATGTTAGATGATGATATATTAGAAATAATCAGTATGGGCAACAGGTACCACTATATTATGTATATTTAGCAAGAAATAGTGGTGTATTTACATATATTATCTGGGAAAAGTAATCTTATTCTGATTTCATTTCCTATAGTTCACAGTCTATTTCAAAAATAAGTATTACAATTATGATTCACTGAGTACACCACACATTTGTAAAAAAAAATAAGGCAAAACACTCCTTATGGTCTCCCAAGACTGCTGGAATCCATGAAAACACCTGTGCTGCAGCATGTGACCCTGAAAAAGTTAAATTTTAATATAAGTATTATTTAAGTTTAATGTCAGCTTCAGCACCAGATGTGCAGAATATAATGCAAGTCGGACTTGGATGACCACAAAAAAAGCTTCTTGTGATATGTGCATGAAAATACTACTACAACGCATCTACTTATAAATGAGGAAATTTAATGACAAAACTCTTTAACAATATATATTATTAAATCCATCTCATTCTTTTTCATAAAAAGATAGAATATTATAAATGCAAATGTTTAGATAGATAGATTGATGGATGTTTGTTTGAAGATATATCTGGAATGGCTGAACGGCTTTAGCTGAAATTTGGCATAGATGTAGATAATATTCTGGAAGAACTCATAGGCTACTTCTTAAGTTTATTTATAATTCCACATGGACGGTATTGTGGGCAACAGCTAGTATTTAAAAAAAAATATGCAGTTAATGTCCTTAATGTAATTGCACTTTAGGTTATTGGAGATGTTCACACACACAAATGTATTAGTCAATTGTTCATTATCTATTTTAGTTTGTTCTTTTGCACCACGGGATATCTTATAATAGTAAAAGTTTAGACGGATTGATGGATGTCCGTTAGAAGAATGGCTGCAATGCACAAGTCTGTAGTTGCTGTGTCCCCACCCACCAACAGATGTGTGATTGGTTTCAATTTAATTATAAGGGCCTGTGAAAAGAGTTATAACCATTTTTCAACCGAATGTGTATCACAGCTGGTCTACACACTACAGATAAAAACAACTAAACATAAGGGCTACAAATTATAAATTTCTAAAAATTAAGTCACATATTATTTTCATGATAAAATTACTCAGACAAGGCAACTTACTAATGATAGTAGAATCATGCAAAAGGCATCTTGCATGATTCTACTATCATCTCATCATGCATCTTTTTCTACATAACCATCGATTTAACACTAAATTAAATTTGAAACAAAATTGAATCTTAGAATAATTATTTTGCTTATCTTTTGTTAACACCCAGTTTGTCAGTGATTGTTCAGCAGTTAATCAGATTATGGAATTATCATTTTATTTTTGTATTTTAGTAAATTATATTAACGTAACGTTCACTTATGGAATTAAAAAATTCTGGTCACAAACCGCCCTTAGAGAAATTCACTTAACACACAGAATCGATCTCAATTGTAGTTAGGATAAAACGACCACCACCAAATTTTATTAAGAGGGTTTGATTTTTGGCAAGGCAACAGGTATTTAATCACCAACCAAAAACTCAGAAACAAAACAAATAATAATTTATTTTAATTTTTCATTGAAATTCACTTTATTGATTAGAGACAATATTGCCAGGTTTAGATACTGATTGGATGATTAAACGATTAAGAGACTAAGTAAAAAAAAAAAACCTTCGATTATTTTCGGCATTTTTTGAAATAGGCAAACACGGGTATTTCGTTATTTAAGTACTAAAACTACTGAATTGTTTAATTCAGTAGTTTTAGTATTACCAGCCTATTAGTTTTAATAGGCTGGTAATACTACTACATACGAGAACCTGTTATTAGTACATTATATTCATACTCCTCTGTATTTCAAGTCACCGACCAAAGATGGCACGGAGAATAACTAAAATGGAAATTTGTAACAGTTAAATAAAAAGGATAATTAGGAACTTATAAATAAAAAAAAAACAAAAAACAAGAAGCTGTACCGACTATAAACCTATAATAAGCACTATAAAATAAAAAAATGTCGAAAAATTGCAATGGAAGCAAGATTTGAGAAGATGTTGATACTCAAATTGTTATAAGTTATTAGTAAAATTAAGGGCTGACAAGGATTAAAAAAAAAAACCTTGATTACAAAACACAACTAAATATTTTGCACAAAAAGTATTTGCATCATCTGTAGATTGTCCATCCACTAAAAATTTTGAATATTTCATGAAGCAAAAATATTTTAACTAACACGTGAAAGCGGGGGCACAATATGAACTCTTTTTACTTTTAGTTTTTCTAATGACTATTATTATCTAATTCTTAATAAGGTTCTATAATTAAAGGAAATGTTTAATCCTGAAAAAAATCTTAAAATATCACAAGGGAAGGGCGTGGGAAGGTCTATATAATGAGATGTCTGGTGGTGAATACTTGATAAACAAATGAGTAATAATCCCATTAAAGCGAGTAGTAAACAGACAAATTAATCACTACACATTATCTATATTTATATTGAGTATCGATAGCGCATTTATTAAGTACACGATCGGATGGGACCGTAATTTATATGGGTTTGATTCCCGTGATGTATGAATGTGTTTTAGATTTTCTAATTTCATTCTTCGTCAAATTCTTGCGGTACTACGTGATTCAGGTTGCGTATGAAATAAAAGCTTGTAATTATAATAGTAGCGTGGAGGAATAGTCTAAGATATCACCGCTCATCACTAGGAGGGGGAGTAGGTTAAACCTTGCTTAAAATATTACGTTTTAAAATTACTATTAAAAAGAAAACAAACAGTTGCAGACAATTAACTAGAAAATCATTATTTAAATAGTACATATCAAGTTAAAATGGAACATTAACTGAATTGCCTTAGCCTTAGCCTTTTTATTTTTAGTAACGATGTTAAAGAGATGCAACAATTATGTTAGCTTTAAAAATTGATATTTTTCCACGTCTCATTCAACAAGTGTCATAACCTTGAAATGTCTGTTCCTTTGAAAAAATTATATTATTTCGTAACTTGTTGATTTGTTAAAAACTAATTGCATTTTCATACAATTGTAAAGTAAGTACTAGTAGGATTATAAATTAATTACTAAATTGTAACACAATATTAATATTAAAATATATATTACGCGAGAGATTGTTTTAAAAAGAAAATAAAAATCAGAAAGATCACTTTAAATGTCGACTTTTTGAAATAAGGTTTCGATAGTCGCTATTACCTTAATTATAATGTGGCTGTTACACATTTTTCTATACGAGAAAGTGGAAAGATGAGAAGGTCGCTGTTTCTTTTTGTAAATAGAGCGATGAGGTAGCATTTGAAAATCGATGGGTTGAGGAGGGAGGGCGCGCTTGCGTTCCAAGTGAGCCGGGCGCGTGTGTTGGATTGACTATTGCCGCTGTCGCACGCGAACCGGGAATAACACAACCACTCGTTGCCTTGGCTACCTTTTATCACATGGGACATTAGTCCAGGTAAGTGGTTAAAAACCTGTTAAATTAAACCGTGCGTAACCAAAAAATACAATAATAATAATAAATATTTATAAAATTGGCTTAAAACGTTTGTGTCCGTTTAAATACGCTACCGGTAGCTTTGTTAAAGTGACATTTCTCAAATATTGTGAATTTATGTGAATAGTGAAGGTGTTGTGAAATATAATTTTGCCTCGGGTTAAATATAAAATTTAGTTGTCATTAAAACTTGTTATCATTTAAAACTGCGTCGCACGCTGTGCTCGGTGAATGCTGTGTTTGTAAACAACTTATCTGTATTATTTATATAAAGTCTGAGCTTTTTAAATGATCTCATTAATAATAAGTTATTTTTACGCCAATTATATAATTTATTTGTCGTAGTCCTCGTATGGCATTTAAAGCAGACTACGCAGCTGTAACAATGGAATCCAGTTCTATCAGTTTTTAATGAACATTAAAATTTTAATATGTTTAAAAAAAAATTACAAACACATCATTTTCTATATATATTTTTTTTGAATCATAAAATTAATAACATTTTCATTAAACAAATCATTGGTAAAAATAAAATATTAGTAAGATTTTGTAAGAAAATAGATTAATTGAGTTTTGGTGTTTAGTTCTTTGTGATACATAGAGTATTGCCGCATATCGAGCGAAAATAAGAACCGCGTTATATATATCAACCACCTGTTGAATAATCACTACCGCGACATCTTTGTTATTTGTAATTTCTTTTGAAGTCATAATTTTATTAAATCTAAATGCATCTTTTACAATCGTCCTATATATAGCTTATTAATTAAGAAAACTGCTTCCTTGATATTTAATACTTGATATTACTTACTTAAAAAAAATTGTTTTATATCATATATCATAGTGAAGCGACCGCTGTCCATAGACATACGCAATTGCTGATGCGTTGCCTACCTTTAACCGACGGTGGAAAGGACGGCCAGAAAAAGGATATATCCTCTTTCTATCGATCACCTCCTTCGTCACCGAAGGGGAAGTGAATTTAAATTCTTTTTCCCTTTACATCCCCTCTTTATAAGAAAAGGGTGGAAAGGCTGGACTAAAATTAGGCTTTCAGCACGCTCACTCATCAGACGTAACGCGAATTTGTTTCCACTTTACTCCTGTCTTCTGTGTGGTCTTTCACTGGTCGTCCCGGACCAATTACGTTACATTTTGTACAGAAATTAACTGTTGCTGGGTCCCTAAGCTTTCTTATTATGCTCGTTAAAATGTTTCTATAATCTATAATTCGGACGATTTCCCGGAAACTTTGCAAGTATATCCTTACAAAAAATTTAATCCTGGTAATTACTATTAGAAAGATTAAAAAAGACTTAAAGAAAATGGCCGAAGCCTTTGTGAAGTTAGCAGACTTTCATCGATTTTTAGTCCTAAGAATATATTAAGATGGAATATGTTTCTGTGATCTTTAGCTCTAAAGAAACTGTACAAAACATGTTGCATTTTTCCTCTTTCACTCTCTTTGAAATACAGAGATAGCAATATGTTTTCATACATGCTACGGCTATGGAAACTTATACGCTTGGCTTACTTAATGTATTGTAATTTATACATCACGCATATTAATCATATATGGTCACACGTCTAACAAACATCGTTTAGGATTGTTTCCATTTTATTAATTTTCTTTATAAATTAATATTTAGAAATATATCATAAGCCCGATTTTATAAAAAGGTTGGAAAAGCAATTATGATTTGATTGATTCTTTGTTCGTTTGCTCGTATTGAATAGGCTCCGAAATTACTGAACCGTCTGAAATTTTTTCCACTGTTGTGAAGTTACACTATCCCCGTGTGATATTTTATTTCGTTAAGTTTTTTTTTTTAATTTTGCGCGGACGAAATTGCGTGCTAGTATTAAATAAGATGTTTTCATTAAAGGAGTTAGGTTTTATTCTAACCTGTAGAAACCAAGAGTACTTGTAAGAAATATAAGTACAGATTGAGTTTCTTGTTTTCTGTTTTACAACTGTTTAATCAATTATATTTATAGTTAGTTATTTATTCAGTTCAAACATTAATTATTATATTATAATACATTCGATATTTCTAAGGATATAATTTAATAACGTGAGGTCCTTGGGAATGAAAGACCGCAATCACAATCACAGTAATTCATGAGTGAATTATACTATTGACGATATTATTTTACTTTTACCTAACTATATCAGGCAAAGTTTATCTTGTGTCATATAATACAATTTGGATGGATGGGTGCTTGTTAGCAGGTAACTCCGAATTGGATAGCAGGATCTAGATTAATTTGGTAAAGAGATAGATTACTGTCTGTAATAGCGTATAGACTACTTACTAAGTATTTTTTTAAAATTCCGCGCACACGAATTTGCGGGCAATATAAACATTAACAGATTAACATTTTCTCTTTGTTTTTATGTATATTGTAATTCAAAGAATTATCGCTACATTGAAAGATTTATATGAGTACTTAATAACATTTACTATATTTTTATTTATTTACATAAACGATACGAGTTAATTCTTATCAATTGTTACTGTTGTTGTTTTCATAGCAGTACGAACACGGACTATGTACTTAAGTAGATAGGATTGTTCATCTTTCTTTTAATTCTGTTTTATGAAAAGTGTAATTTTTTTCTATCCTATTAATAAATTCACGTTTGAAAATTCAATTAATTTCATCAATTTGTGAATTGATTGAATCGACTGCTACGAGGATTATTCGCTAGATATATGTATGTCTACGGGCTTGGAATTATGCGACTTTGTAATCGTGAACAAGTTGGATCAATAAAGATAATGGAAAACATTTTATTTGTTTGGTAGATGATTGATTGTGAAAATATTATGAATGGTACATTCTGGTTCAGTTTTTGGGTTTTTCTTTTCGAGTCTGATTCTTTTAAATTAAAAATTAAATATCGATTGCAAAATTAATTAAATAAAAGATATTCAAGTTTTTGTTCTTCATAGTACCTATGATAATAAAATTAAAAAATTAAACCAAGTAGAAGAGTAGATCTGTTTATATGTATTATATTTATGTATTTATATATAAAAAATGCGTTACAATTACAATTCCGTAATTTGATGTTTCTTTTTTCAGCGTTAGCCGGCATTGAATGTTGGCCTTCATGGTGAAAAGTATGCAAGGTCCTAAAAAAGTTTTCTTATGCCGACCGGTTCAAGCAAACTCAACGCTACGGTTCAGTCCGTACCAAAAATTTACCGTACTAGGTAAGCTTCACTTACAATGAAATACACAATTTGTAAAGGCGGGTTTCCACGATGTTGATTCTACGGACAGACACGGATCGAAGTACATGATCTATGGAAATAGAGCGCTCTCTGGTAGCATGGGCATATCTATTTATTTCATCGGACCCAGTAGGTAGGTTCAAGTCAGTATAGATAATCAAGCACCGAAGCAACCGTTTCCTGTTTTATTAAATCTAATTTTAATTTTTTTCTATCACTTTGCTTGTTCGTAACTGAAGCGTACATCAAATTTCAAGTCTTTACCTGGGCGTTTTACTGTCCTCGTGTAAAGTCGATATTATTCGATAGAATATTGATAAAAATATTATCGAAATATTTCTTGTTATTTTGATAGTTATTACTTGTGCGATTTCTTTATAATATGGTACATTCAATTGAATTCGTACTGAGTAATGAAGTTCTCACAAAGCGCTGAGCGTTAACAACGTGTGTCGTTATTTCCAAGATTTTATTCATATTCCAGAAATAGTATTCGAACAATTTGTATACCGCAATAATATCGCTTTATAAGGACTTATATAAATTGTATTTGTTCAATTTTCTATCTAATGAAGCTATTGATAATACTTATCCACTCTGTGATTTCTATTCAAAATTAGTGACGTTTGTATAGCGCCTGCCAATTTATTAATCCATTTGTTATCAATAATAATTTGCTAGTGAAAGAAATGTTTGCTACTGCTATTGATTCTATAATCCTTTTGCGATTTTGTGCTTTATGCGAGTGTATGCTTTTAATTATAATATTTCAACGTTGTAAATAAATTGTGTATAAACCTTCAAGAGAAGAATGAATAGGCATTTGCTATGCTAACGCGTACCATCTTTCGACCACATCATCACCTAACATTAGGTGGGAGCGTGGTCAAGTGCTAGTTAATTCAATCTAAAGGAAATTAGACACTACGACAAATTACTTAAACATTAAAGGAAGCGCCGAAGGGTACTACAATACGTTCCATTTAACAGGTTCTAGAAAAACAGAGTACTAGTCGATTATTAGCCTAACAAACTTGGATTCCGGGAAAAGGACGTAGCCCTTTGAGTTGTTTCTCTTAGTATCAATTTATATAAACCTATAATCGATATTATTATGTATACAGAATGTCAGAATACGATGGAAAATTAAAAATTCCTTGGATTTACATTCACTTTTGCTTAGTTTGAGAGTTACGTATTATTAAGTTACAAAAATCTCTTACCATTTTGTAAATTTCTGGCGAAGCGATCATGCATTTTTACATTAACTTTTAATATGTTTGCACTAGAAAATTACAGCTTTTGTGGAAGAAACCCCCCTTTTAAGAAGATAATAGAATATACTATAGAACATTTGGTACTTACAGTAAAAAAAAATAATTTAACATTATTTTTATGCACAATTTAACATGAAAACTGTAGAACTATGATTTGCATTTTCGTTATATTCGTTACATTCTCAAATATTTCCATTTCAATGTATTGATGCACCCGGCTTAAAAATACTTCAGTGAATTTTGTTTTACTTTATTTTAAAACTTTTCCTTCATGTCCTCCGATACCTGGTCCAAAAAAAATACCTTTTGTAAATAGCAAATGTTACTCAAAGGAAATATAACTATTAAATTTTACAAAGAATTTAAACGTTGATTCTCTCATAACATAGGCCTTAAACTAATGCTGAACATTTAATTCAAACTAATATCGAATACTATTATACTTAAAAATGATTATTTTATAAAATATTTACTTATTTACAAAAAAATTATTCTATAGATGTTTCAGAATAATCCATTGGTCAGAATGATGGTCATATAAACACATATAACTTTTTTCTTATTAAAACCTTGTAATATTACTCGTTACGGAAAGTTCTTTGAGGTATGATACTGTCAGAGCTTTGAGCAAATCACAGCGACTGATAACTAATGAGTATTCGCTGGTTTTAAACCTTTTTTGCTCTTATTGATTAATACCGAGATCTGAGCTCAAAGGCATAATTACATTTTTTACCTTTATCATAGATACCTTTATATATCATTTCCCTGGTCTTAATCAACTCGTATGTGGTCTGTACTGACGGTTTTGTTAGCCTTAACGTTTTTAAAAATATACATGTGATTTATTGTGTATTGTGTATTCAACGAATCCAGTTTTCAATATATAACTAAAGTCTCAAAGAATCTTCAGTAATTCTTAAGAATACCTATTATTTTTGTTTTTTTTTCAAAACAATTTTTAATTAATAATTAGACAGAAAACAAAGTTAATTATAATTTTTGTCGTTGGCATCCTAAATAAGAATTATTAATTAAATAGGATTTTATATTAATATTATTATACAGATATAATCCGATTTCCCTCACTACCTTTAACATCATTAAATTTTACCCGCATGACACGATCCGATTAAAATTGCACGCTTTGTCACATCCATGTATATATATCATTTGTCTCATTATTAATTTTGTTAATCCGATTAGACAGATGACACATTGGCAAATGCAAACAATGCACAGAATGGTTTAATTTAACAGGAAACTAATAACGGCGTGCAAGTTGCATTTCAAACATAATTTCTCGTTCTCTTTGAATATGAGTAGTCAACTTTGTCTAACCAAACTCAAAGTTTCTATGCCCAGTCGTCTGCAGAATTGTTAGGTAGAAATTAACGTAGTTATAAATACAGGATCCCTTGATCTAGTTTATAAATTAAGTTTTTTAATCATGTCTGAATAATTTGCTGCTGAGCACAGAGTTGTTCAGCGGTCAATAATGGAGTCTAAGTGTAAATTACGACTCTCATCGCGTGCGTCTTAGCGTTTACATTTATGATATTAATGTTTTAAAACTATTGAAACGGAATAAATCGTTATATTTATATATTATATCACGTTTATGACGTCGGCAAAGTGCTATAAATCTCTAACATGAAGCTGGTACGGATTATTGGAGATTAAAAAGTAAGTAAAATCTATTTGTTCCACAATTTATTAAAAGTATTATTTTCTTTTATTTTTAAACTTCTCAGCTAATGATTGATTGAATTGCTTTTATTTAGCTTAATTTCTTAACATTGTACTCGTAGCTTTGACTTAATGATGGCTTTACCTGTTCTTTTACAAATTATGCTTGCTTTTTAATAAATGGCTGTAGTTTCTCTGAAAACATTTTCCAAAGACGTAACTAACTGACAAATTCTCTTTCGCGACATAAATTTTCTATAATGCTTAATAAGATAATGTAGAGTTTACATATCTATTAATAACAGTAATAAACAACAACAATAACTTTGTAAACGGAGGCGTTATATTTTCAAATTATTTTGGGCTTGTACAGTATCAATAATGAACTAGTTTGACATTGTTATGAAAGTTTAATTGTCATGTCGGGCGAACATTGTTATTAAACTATTGTCGGAAAATCATCACAGTTCTAGCTCAAGTTAAATTGAATTGCGATATTATTAAAACTTACGCAACTTACTTTGTGACCGCTATTGTTTAAGAAGCTTAATTCTTTTAAATTACGTAATTCATTCCAATACAATAGCATTTTTCAATAAAAAAAAACAATAAACCCGACCGAATCTACCCTTACGAAACAGAATAATACGAATTACCTCACCCATCAAATAGGTTAGTTTCCAGACGATCACAACTGAACTCTTAAATCAATATATCTACATAAAAACATACATACATACTCGCGATAAACAGTACCCTCTTCAGTGAATTAGGTACATGTATGAATTATATACACTGTCTTGTACCCAAGTTTTATATTCAGGATCCATAAAACAAACCGTCTAGCTCTTCATTATTTCTTATTAAATTCTGTCAGTTCCCAGCAAGAGGTGTCGTAGAATTTAATTTAATTTCGCACATAAGCTTGAGTCCAATTCACGGGTGAAAATATAATCCTTTATGTATCAAAAGTTTATCACATCGCAGCGAAAGCGCACTCGAACCAAAGCGTAACACGAAATGTATGAAAACGTAAATGGAACGCAAACTTTGTTCGTTTTGCGCTGTAAGCCTAACTGTTAACGAATCTAAATCAATACCAGGTGCAGAAAAAATTGGATTTGTTTCCTGTTCGCTTTCAAGACAGTGTGCTAAGCCCAATAAGATTAAAGTAGATATTGATAATAAAAAATGCGGTACTATAAAAACGAAATAGATGAAATTAATTTCAAAATTTTTAACATGAACGTTAAAGTTTTTATTTGCATTCGACGGCAAACAAATAAGCGGCACCGCTTCAGTTTACCTTTTTTAACAGTCGGTTTTACTTTATATGCAGATGTTTGCTTTTTAAAGTAAATATCGGGCGTCAGGTCAAATTTGTTTTATGCAATTGCTTACTTTTTAAATTAATTGCACTAAGTTGGAATAGGTGTATTTTTTAGAATTGTATTTTTAGTTTATAGAATTTCTTTACGTTTTAATAAGTTTAAATGTGATTCATGAAATGTATCAAGATCTATACACGAAATTAAAACAACTACAATATGTAGTTAATAGAACATTTATTGTATATTGTAAAGCTGACAAGAGCGTTGTATTGGATTCAATAACGCTTGAGTTTATTCGGAACAAACAATTCCCTTTATTAGATTACAATAAATATGTATTTGATATTGTTTGTTGAGATTTTCGATTACCTGAGCTGATATTACGGCTTTTGTTACACACGTTTTATCTATTTAACAAGCCCTCATAATAATAAAATCGTCTAGTTTCACGATAGTAAACTCTCAAGTTTGAAACACTTTAAGCTTCCAAGAAAATCTTAAGTTCATTAAATACCTCGCAACTTAAATACCGTTCAAATCAAGTTGATTTATATGAAGTAAAAAGCAAAGCTGTTGTGCAATGCAATATATTTTATATTTTTCTTTTGGCATTTTATTTTTATTTTTCTAGAGAACGCTGTTCGAGTATACACACGCCTAGAAAAGGCACACCAACTCTACA